CAGAAACAGGGATGGTTGAGTGGCAATGAGAGTGGTTTTCATATGCATAGACTCTGCCCTGCCATAGGAATGTGGAATATCCACCACTGGATTCGGGCTGTAGAGTGGAGATGAGCTTCGCGTTGAGACTCAAAGCCACCATCATAAGCATGCACACTTACCCACACATATGCACATCCCCAAAGTGGCAAATGTTGCAACAAACACACAACCCCATAAATACACCCCGAGCCTCACAAACCTATTCACGTCTACACACTCACATGCACTGCGGTAAAGTCACGTGGGTAAAAAATTGCCTCCGAAACGTCGTGATTTTTATTTTACTTTTATTAATTTAAAATTTTTACCTACGTCACTTTACCGAAAAAACCTAAGAATATGAATCCTTGCAGTCACGAAAGCTTCAAATCTAGAATCTGGGTTACTGTTACAGTTGTTTTTATGCTGCAGAGTCACTATCATCAGTATGACGTACCTGATCATAACGAGAGACCCTAACATTGCATTTAAACAATTAAACGTGTATTTCTGTTATAATGGGAGACAATCATTCAAAAAGTGGGAGTAATACAATAATTTACTCTGCACCACCTTGTGCAGATTCATCTTGAAGGGGAGGCAGGTGGCTTGGGTGCTTTATTGTAGAATGCATATCAATGTTGCTATTGATGAGAATGGAATGCGAAAGCCCCGTAAATCCCCCCCCCGTGTGCCCATGTCCACCGAGCCAGTATAAATGGGTGCAACCCCTTCCCGTGATCCAACTGGCAGGTTGCGTGTGTTGGGGTAGCGTGTGGGGTAGGCCAACATTTCCCTCTCTCTCTCGAGAGAGAGGGAGATGTGGCTCTCGCTCTCTCTCCCTCGAGCTTGCCCTGGTGGGGTTAAGGCCCTTTCCGAGAGCAGTGGCTTGAATAAGCAATTACGGTACAGGGTGGTCCCAGATGTCTCCATTTAATTATCTCAAAAGTTTTTTTTGTACACCTATGGGTGTGAAAAGAGAAATGAATAAGCAAAGGGACAAAACATGTTTGGGGTCAATTAATTAGGGGGGGGGGCGGTTACGCGACATCTGGACCACTTTGTACTGTAATAGGGGTGTGCACGTTAACTTTAATTATTTTTCCCGAGTGGAGATAAAAGATTACATAGACTTACCGCCAGAGGGCAGCATTATGATCAAGTTGTGCGACTGCTGACGCTCAAGTTAATACTGGTAGGAACCTCCTGGTTACACCAGTCCACAGGGGATTATTGTGTCCGTCGTGCAGGGAGGGGCTGGGTGTGGAGGGAGGGGCTGGGTGGGGAGGGGAGGGTGGGGAGAGTGGGGAGGGGCTGGGTGGGGAGGGTTGGGAGGGGCTGGGTGGGGAGGGGCTGGGTGAGGAGGGTGGGAGGGGTGGGGCTGGGTGGAGAGGGGCTGGTCACCCCGCAGTGTCCTTATAAAACTCAACGTTTAACCTACTCACGCCGGCCTGTGCCCGCCCTTTTGTTCAACTAATGTATCTTTCTTTGCTCCTGTCACCCTGCACCACAGATCATAGTAGATATCTCACAGTGAGACTCACAATCTCTCCAATTTGGACCGAGACCATCACTGCCGGGCGACGTTTCTCCATGGCGGCCCCCAACATCTGGAAGCCCATCATCATCACCATCCGGCTGCTGCACCTTCGCAGCATTCAATCCACGCTGACTATTAAGAGACACTCACAGGCTCCACCTCGTTCGTCTGGATGTCAAATGACATTGAGCTTAGCTCTGCACCTCAGAGTCACGCTCAATCATGTCAGTGAAATATTGTGCGGCGTTACAAATTGCATTACTGTGTTAAAATGGGCAGATATTTTCTTATTTATTCAAGGCCAAAAGGCCAACACAATAATATGCCTAGCATTTAGATCCCTATTATGCATACACAATCCAAATGTTATGATGAAATTACCAAAACAAGTACTGCAGTGCAATGGTAATATAAAGGTCATTTACTTTGTACACAATATTGATTTATTACCTTTCTAAGTGAACTATCTTAAGATGTTGTACAAATTGGTGGGAACGTCCGTCTACTGAATATCAATGAGGACCTTTTTTAAGATTTTCATTTGAGCAGGGAAAGAGGTATGGAATGCTCAGAAGCAGATCCAAAATGGGGGGCGATGGGGGAAATTACACCTCCTCTTCCCCTGGAGACCCCGGAAATTGGTGTTTTATTGAATTTTACCAGAAAAAATACATTTAATGGTTTTATTTTATGTAAGGCCCTGTTTGAAATTGTGAAATGCTGGGACCTTCCTCGCCTTGGGACGTTTATGAGAGTGTTTGATGGGCGCCGAGGTAGGTAAGGAGTGCAAATGAAGATGCTTCGTAGGAACTGACAAGTCATGCCGAGTCTTGAGATTGGACTTGAACAGGGGAAGCGTCTCAGCAGTGCAGATGGTCAGTGGAAGGGAATTCCAGACAACAGAGCAGCAGTAACAGATTTTGTAGCATTTGAATATTCAGTTCACTTATCACTTGGAGCACCCAAATTGTACAGCTGCTGCAGCTGGTTAGTATTTACTAAAAGAACAGACTGTGCTCTGACCACCAGCACAAGATAACCAATCTAGTGTCGTATTGATCAGTGGAGAGAATAGTGACTGAGATTAACAATCCCATCACAAACCAAGCCTCAGAGAGCTGATCCTCAGCCAGCCTCGTGGTTTTACAGCCTCCACATTCCACTGGTTTAATATACGCTGACACAGCTTGTTACGATTGTCAACTTATTTTCGTAGACGGATATAAAATTGCCAATCATATAAGGGCATCAAGGAATAAACATCGTGCAAATGTATCCAAATGTGTTTTTGTGTGAAAGCACGCAGTGTAATTTTCGGTGTATGTGTCAGTCACAACCCAGTAGTCCCTCGATTAACGTTTTCAATCCGTTCCACAAAAACCACTGTTAACCGAAATAACCGTTTATGGAATTTCACTTATACGTTGAAAAACAAGTAAAAATCATTGCGTCTGCAAGAGAGCTGTTTCCACTCCCGAAACTTTCAAAACACGTTGTTAACGAAGCCAGTCGAGGTCTAAACCCTCATAAATGGGCGTCGCTGATTGGCCGAGGCACGCTCAGCCCACTTGCGAGCGCTCGAATTGGCCGAAATTGGCGCTCCGCGTGCAAAAACGTAAACACTTCCCGTTCGTCAGAAATGTAACGTTCGTCGAAACCATGGGGTCCTATGAGAGGCGAAACGTTAACCGCAAAAAAAACGTTAACCGATGTCGCTCTTAACCGAATGACTTAATATACACCGGGCGTTTTTTTGTGTTGATCGTGATGTATTATTACTCAGTCCTGACCACTTTGTTTATACACAGATGCCTCGTTTTTCCTCAACCTATAATATATGTAGCTTCAGAGATGATCAAACATAATGCATGCCTGAGATTCTGTGTTTGATTGCAAAACAGTCTTCTGTGATTAAAGTGCGTTCACAAATGTGGTCAGTTTATGGTCTCAGCCTGAACAACAAATGACTGGGAAAAAAAAGGCACAATGAGATTTAAGTTGTTCGCCTAATTTGCCGTATTCCAGCTCGGTCAATGGCCAGGGTCAACGGCGGCGTGGTGTATTCCGCAAATATGTCCGACTGTGAGGGCGGGCACATGCCGGCGTGAGTAGGTTAAACGTTGAGTTTTATAAGGGCACCACAGGGTGACCAGCCCCTCCCCACCCAACCCCACCCCTCCCTCCCACCCCCCACCCAGCCCCACCCTCCCCACCCAGCCCCTCCCCACCCTCCCCTCCCCACCCAGCCCCTCCCCACCCTCCTCTCTCCACCCAGCCCGACCCCTCTCATTTTTGGATGCACGACGGACGGACGAACACAATAATCCCCTGTGGGCTGGTGGAACCAGGTGGTTCCTACCAGTACAAATATTTGGATGTGAATGCATTTGCTGGAAATAAAAATGTGTGCCACTCATGTGACTAAAGAGGTATTTTGATGTAAGTTGAGAAGTACAGCAGACATCGAATAATCATCTGCGTTGACATGAGAGACGACATTATGGATCCTTTCAACCGCGGTGCACCGGGGAGGTTTAACCTTCAAATCCATTGGCGGCTCGTGACATGTCCACTAGGTGGGGCTGTTGTGGGTGACCTCTGAAAAATGCGGTGTTCTAATGAGGAAAAATCTCGTCATGTTATTGTCCTTCCCGTGAAAGTGATACAACCGTCTTATCTGCCGACGGTAGGCATTTATAAACACTACGACAACAAAGCCACAGAGCACTCAAATGTTGTCCCCATGCCCCTCAAGTCCACACTACACACCTGCTGCCACTTATTATTGGTCAAAATACCATAAATTCAACACCCAAATGAGTATGTTGCTCAATAAATGCTTTAGAATGCCACACGTGCCGTATTTTCATGCTCGTTGCAATTCTCATTAGAGCGTTAATTATGCTTAATGCACTTCTGAGTGCGTCTGTTTAGTTGGGAAGGCATGAGTACAAAAGTTTTCAGAGCGTTCGTATATAGGGCATACACGAGCGCATCCAGAGCCTTTAGCTTGATTATCAATCCATGGGTTTGGCTGGGAGAGGCGATTTGCATTTGTGTGTTAGGGCAATCGGTGCATTAATTGCACGTGAAAGCCCTTGGCATGGTGAACTTTAAAATTGAAACAAAAAAATAAGCAAATCTAAAATATTTACTTAGAAATTGTCATGACCCTTTGCATATTTTCATACCAAGGTTATATATATTATAGTTGGCATGCTTCTGCATATTTGTTTGTATGCGTACAGAGATGGCTGTGATCGATTGTACGAGTGGTGTCTGTCTGTGTGTGCTAAAGTTGAGTTTGGGGAATTGGGTGGGCTACACCCAGGTTTCTAGATGGGGCGGGGGGCTTGCCAGGCGGAGCAAGTTAGCCAGGCAGGCAGTCAAAGGCAGTGCGTGGCAAGGCAATCGAGACGGGGGGTGGGGAGAGGGGATGGGGGTAAGGAGACAGACTGCAAGAGAAAGACCAGTGTGTGTGTGTGTCAGTGTTGATGATCGAGACAGCAGTGAGTGTTAACAGTCGGAGAGAGAGCGCAAGAGGCAGAGGGAATCCGTGTAGTTGCAGGGAGCAGAGGGGTGGTGGGTGGGTCTGGTGTGCGTACAGGGTCGAGAGAGTCAAGACAATTCCTCGCGCGTCTCACCGCTTCCCACATGGCGTGTTCGGACGCACGTTGTCGACACATGTCAAGCGGCACCAGCCTGCCCGGCCTGCGCAACGGTGAGTGTCTCTGTCTCCATCGGGTTCCATCTGAACATCGTGTCAGAAATAAATCACCCTTCTGAATGACGCTCGCCTTGAGCAAGTTGAGACTGAATGAAACCAAACAGGAGTTTCAGTGAGACATTATTCAATGCTGCTGCTGCTGCTGCTGCAGGGGTTTATCAAAAGATGTTGTTTCGGTGTTTTTTTTCCTCTAAATTACCAATGAACACGAGTGTTTGGTGGTGCTACACTATACTGTTAGGTGTTTTCGGTAAAGTCACGTAGGTAAAAAATAAATAATACATAATAATAGAAATAAAATAATAAATCACGACGTTTCGGAGGCAACACAAGTCTCCGTCATCAGGTGGGACCGTCACAGCTAGATTTACTGTCTCAAGTGAGGCACATTTTCAAGAGTCAAGCTCTTAAATACAAGTTTAAGGGAGGTGCTACACTATTTAATGTTCAAAGTGAGAGCAATGGTACATGGTTAGATTTTGATCATCAGGAGGCATGTTAACAGAAGTTTGGAAGCTGCTGGAGAATTTAAAGTGGTTCTGCCACTCTTGTTACAGCTGAATAATTATCACCTGCTTGTAATTGATATTACCCTCATTAACATTGCAAGGAATTATTCCTGTTGGCTCAAGCGAAACTCTGCCGGAACAGGACAAATATTGAGTACGATGGGTGCAGTAGCACACTTCTGTAATCCAGTGCATGAAAATTGAAGTTGATGGATAATGCGAAGGTTTTAGTGTGTTGAACGCCAACCGTATAGTGACATCTGAAGTTGCTGTAGAAGGCAGTACAGCAAGTAGGATGTTGCTAATATGCATTACTGTTATTCCCTCGTACATATGGGGTTTTCTCCAGATATTACGCAATCTTTTCATTGCTAAAATTTACTGAAAAGGTATAGGCTAAGTGCTAAACATTCCACACCCCTCACGAGAATGAGTCTGAGGCTCAAGTGAGGCCTTTTGGGTAAATAAAGGATCAATCATGAGCAGGTTAGGTTTGCGTCACGTATGGTACTGGGTCAATCCATGGGGGAATTTCTTCTTGTGATGCTAGAGACAAGCATACAAAATGAAGAGTTTACTATCAGAATCCCTGGAAAGTGTTTGAGGGTTGTTAATCAACAACCAGTAAACTGGAAACCAATCGTGTTATCGATTACTGGTTTCAAATGTCAGGAACCGGCAACCATTTCTCCTGTTGAACTTTAGGACTAAAAATTTACCACGTAATGTCCGCTGAGCGAGATAGCTCTTTTTCAGAAGCACACAAATGACAGCTCGACGAAGGCACTTATCACGTGGAAATGTATAACTGCTAAATACTCTCAACGCATGTTTCTAAATGTGGAGGGGAAAACCGGAGGACCCGGAGAAAAATTCACGATGGAGAGAGACACGAAAACTCCAAATATACAGGCGTCAGGTTCGGGATCGAACCCACGAGCTATACCAGGCGAGGTAGTTAACATCTCGCACGCGCGAACGTACAAACGGCACGGCGGTAGTCATCTTACGGCAACTACAGATCACTGTAAAAGTGTTCATGGAGATTCACAAACCACTCGTGAAGAGTTAGGGTAAAACAAAAAACCTATAGGTCAGTCTGATGTCGTACAATGTGTAACTCCCTCATTTAAAATGGCATTCATAGACAGAAACAGACACACACACATGGTTGTATATTTCTGTTTATTGATGGGTATTGTTGTCATGTGCAGCGAACAGAAACAGGTTTTTTTTACATACCGGTTTTTTAAATATGTTTTCTGTTTATGAAAGAGAGACGGTTTTAACAGCCCTCGTCTGTATAGTTTCACATGATCGCATGGTTAGTCTAGTAAATGTTACTTAGCCAGATGAGCATTCAATAAACGAGGATGCGTTTCATTTGTTTGAGTGACCTGGAGAGGTAGTCTTCCAGTAGGTGGCGATGATTGCGATGTATATATCCAGGTGCTCTATGTATAATAACTCAAGAGGTGAGGATGAGCTCAAGTCTAACGTCATCAACTAGCCTTTTCAAGTTAACAGTGATGATTGTGGCTTTTAAGACATATCATGCGGTTATTTCTATACATTCAAGTGCAATAGTTATACTACAATTATGCCAAATTCAAGCATTCCTGACAATGATACTCATGCTCCGAGCATTTATGCATGCCACTGCTGCCATAATTGTGATTTCAGCAAACACTTGCCTACGAAGCAAACACTTTGCTTAGTCACGAAAGCAGATGATGGATGGTGTACTGTTCGACCGTGAATTTTTACTGAAGAAAAACACTGTTACGTTGGCACTTTGAAAGTATTGCACGGTAATTGTACATGAATTGCCATGCCTCATCCACAGGTTCAGTTTTCATTCCGCCGTGTTTTTTGCCCATTTGTTTGTAAACTGCTTCTTGCCAAACAATGGCTAAGTCTATACAGTCATTTGTCCAGAGCCAAGCCAGCCGTATCTTCAAAATAATTAACCCCTATACATGTCTCAGATAACTTTCCGAGATTACCTGCAGCACAGTTCAGTGGAACTGCTTTAAGGCCAGGGCATCATACACCTTTAATGCTGCACCTGAAGTGGAAATGTTCCGTCCCGATGTTGTCGTCAGCAGCCAGGTGTTTAAAGAGTGCGGGGCGTACAACGGCAGCGTACGCCACTATCCACGTGTGATTTCAAGACTGTGTGTCGGTGTTTGCCTGCGTGCGCAGGGGATGCGTGTGGCGTTGACGAGCACTTGAAGGATGCATGCAGAGGCCAGGTAACGTTCATAACCTGCACTGAGACCCCTGGCTTCTTATGATACTCCCAGGAGACATTTGCGATTTACAAATTTGTAATCGTGACATCACAAGACATGGGAAGCGTGAGAAAGATTGACAATTCTGAAGCAAACGAATTGGGTGGTAGGGTATTGAAAAGACACCACATTCACTCTATGCCCCGTTCTATCAAACTTATTTTAATTAATCTTGATTTTAAGCTTTCGTGACTGCAGGAATCCATACTCTTTGGTTCTTTCGGTAAAGTCACGTACTTAGAAATAAAATAAAACAAATCACGACGTTTCGATTGCAACACAAGCAATCATCATCAGGTGGGGAAACCACAGCAAGAAAAAAACATTTGAATTCGTTTTTGCTTTGCTGTATCACTGCGGATAAATAAAGAATGAGTCTGTGCACGTGACCATCCAAGATATGTGCGGCATGTTCCACAAACAAGCGAGGGAGTCCAAAAGGGCGAGTGTGTGGCTATTTTTTGGCATTGATGGGTAGAGTACAATTTCCGTATATTTATATCTCATATAGCTTTGTATCTGGACAGCTAATAAAAACTGGGGCTGAACCAATATGTTGTATACAACCATGTATAGTCATGTTACACTGATAGTGTCATGGTCCAAACCCAAACCTGTCCCTTTAAAGCAGCTGATGCCCTCCTCATCCGCTGATTGCTTAGGTCATTGCGAATGGGACTCATAAAGGTGTTCGTACGGCCCTGGGGTCATCAAATCAGTGAACAGTAAGACGCGCCTTAAGCAATGCCTTTTTAGGTAACATGGAGAACTAAAACAGCTGTATTGCGGTATTGCAAGCTCACAGAAATCTATATTTATCACCTGGTAAAAGGAATTGATCTTGACTATAATTCCAAACATAATCTCCCATTTGTCACGCCCCATTCGGCCCGGCGTCGGCTGTCACAGCCTGGGCTGGGAAGAGGCCTGCTCCACATCCAGGAGCCTAAGTCTCTCCTGCAAGGGTGGTTTCCCACTGAGTGATTCGAACCTTTGTGTCTTGGCCATTCTTGGGCAATCGGCTGGTTACATATCATTCAAATTTCCTAGGCTCTCACCTGGTTCAACAATCAGACTTTCACCTGATAAAACAGTCTATCGTCTGGATCCATAGAGTAAATGGCACTGATTGGAGCATCATAAATACCGTTTGATATGTATATTCTCCCTCATGTTTCTTTCATTTAACTTAAATGGTTGTTGCACTTGATGTGCACTTGTATAATTAGAGAAAATTAAGTACTATCGACTCAAAGTGAGAAATTCTAGAGAATTTATGAAGTTTTAAAATTCCATTTAAAAATGACAGTACAGCAGTAACTGTCAAACTATGCCTCCTCTTCTTGTAGTGTTGATGTCATTCATTTCGTGTTTATATTTTCCAACTCACTCTTTCCTACCTCTTTTGATACATAACAAATGCAGTCATGAAAGCCAGAACTATGTATGTAGATCAATGAAAACTGTTAAATCATAATAGTGAAGTAGTATAATAAATGATAAAATAGTGATTACTTTAATAAAGAAAATATTACCTAATAAACCAATACATTTTAACAATAAAACAGTTGCAGGTTTAGCATGTTGTGGGAAAAGTTGTCAGGGACTAATCATTAACATTGCAGTGTTTTTGTTCTATTTTGGTTTTTATGCAGCAGTTAGCCATGAAGTAAGCCCAGACCATGTCAACACAATATGAATTACTTATTCATGTATTGCAATGTTCTGAAATCAAAACAATGACATCAAAACAACCATTGGGCAACGTTCCTTTTTCAGAATATCATCCCTAAGACAATTACGTTTTCCCAATGAAATATTATACTGCGCTCTGCAACATTGGCATACAACTTTGCCTCTAGATACAGTTTTTAGACTTAAATGAAAAATTACATCAATAAATATACAATTCCCTACTGTGTCGGGTGGCGGCGGGTTTAACGACACATTTATATATTTACACGATCTAACCCAAAAACCTCTATTATGGATAATATTGGTCGTGAAAGCCTCCTACATGTTAAACGAATTGTAGGTACTCAATGCCTTCTATTAAGGTATGTTTACAAAAAAAATCAATAAATCAAATATTCTAAATTTGAAGTTTTCGTGACTGCAAGGATCCATACTCTTTGGTTCTTTCGGTAAAGTCATGTAGGTGAAAATAATAATAAAATATAATAAAAAAGTTAATTGAGTTGTTTTCACTTTTTTTTCTATTTTATCATTATTTTCACCTACGTGACTTTACCGAAAAAAAGCTAATGTTTTTTTAAAGTAGTTCAAAATTATCTTAACGTTCTTCCCTCCACTGGAGTTGCAAACCATAAAATATATGAGTCTATAAACAATAGCAATAAGAATGTGCGACTCTTTAACAATCCATTGCTGAATGGAGGCCTCCCCGTGCCGTGTCAGTAATGCACTTTCTTTGTCCATACTTCACCACGCTGATGATTGCGGGTTGGTGAAGGTGGCTCCAAGGACAAGTCCAGCTATCACTCATCACCGATGTTCAACTACAGCCAGGAATCGAAATCAGGTCGTTGGGTTCATCGCGCGGTGCGCAAACCAACGGTGGTTTTGTGAACGGGGTGAGCACAGGACTGGTTAATTATCACATGCCACCGATATGAGGTGTGGCTCGGAATGAAACTGAGGCTCCTGGGTGCACAGTTCAATGTACTAAACACTGAGCCACTGCTCAAACCTACTGTTGAATTAACAAAACAAAACACTTAATCATTAACATTAGCTTGTCAGAAGTTGGTCAGTGTGTTTGTGAACAGGGCAATGTGGTCTAGGTAGATATGCCTCCATATTGTTTTAAAATACACAATGAAGTCACACTGAAAGATATATGTAAAAAACTGATTTTTTTTATATGGTGTATTGTATGCATGTTGATCTTCTTTCGCTCTGTATGTAGCCAACCACGCTAATCGGAGGTGCGGGGGAAGGTATTACACATGTACAAGTCCTAAAAGTATCCGGTGCAGGTGCACATTAATGTATGCAATGTAATACCATGACTATATCATCTCATCCTCGTTGGTTCTTTCCGTAAAGTCACGGAGGTAGAACAAAGAAATAATTGTTTATTTTTCCTACCTACGTGACAATATGGAAATATAGAAAATTCGTCGTGATTTCGCTCCAACTGGTAATATATTTTTTTCTATCTAAAGAGCATGGATTCCTGCAGTCACGAAAACTTCAAATCAAACTTCAAATCAAGGTTATATCATCCCAGTGGCCAAAGAGAATGAATGTCCCTCCAAGCCAACAACATTCACAAGTGGGACTTCCTCAGGAGACAATGTGCAAATATAGAAAATTCGTCGTGATTTCGCCCCAACTGATACACACAGACAATGATTTTGCACCTCTTGGACCACAAACTTGACTTCAAATGTGCAATTTCTTTGGTAATGAAATCACAGAAATCCATACAGACTCAGAAACCCATTTTTTTTTATGCTACACGCACGCTGAGAAAAGCTGTGCAATGTTGACCTTTGAGTTATTCTTGTAGATTTGTTTTAGTCCCTTACGCAACTATCAATGTTGGCGACAGCGCAACTCTGTGTACAAAGCGTTTTATCAGAAGTGCACCACCCCAGAGACATCGGGCCTGTACGTGGTGTGCAGAGGCCAGAGTACACGCGGCTCCCGGCCAGGGTTGGTCAGTCCGCGGTGGTCACACTGTGTTCACACTCCGCCCAGGGCAAGGTCAAGGCAGATAGGTGCTATCCTCTTATCGGTCCTGTTAGGGGATGGACCATTATCCCAGGCATTGTTACATTATCTTGCGTGGGGATAGTTAAGCACATTTCATCATCATCATCATCATTATTATTTGATATTCGTTTATTCACCAGTGGATGAAGGAAGGCCACGCCGGTTGCCGGACGACGAATACATTATGAGTTAAATTTCGATTTAAAGCTTTCGTGACTGCAGGGATTCATCTTCTTGGTTCTTTCGGTAAAGTCACGTAGAAGGGAAATAATAAAATAAGAAAAATAAAACATAATAAAAAATTGATTACGTTTTATTTGTATTATTTTAAAACTAAAACATAATAAAATAATTTATTATGTTTTATTTATATTATTTTATTATTTCCCTTCTACGTGACTTTACCGAAAGAACCAAGAAGACATTATGAGTTGTGCACTCATTGCGCACAAAATGCTTGCCACAAATGAACCACAATTCCTTGCTGATCTCGCCAAGGAGCATAAACCATCACACACCACGGATCTCCCTCGTAAGATAGCCAAGCAAACGGGCTATACGGCACCATCCATATAACACATCAAATAGACTCAAACTCAAATGATCATCGCTTCCCGTTCTAGAGGGTCTCACTCGTCAAAGTGGCACGTGGTAAGTGTGGTAGAACAGCCCATATTCATATTACTATTCTGAATATAGCAACACATTATATCTATTTTTTTAAAGCAAGACTGTTACAAAGGTTTGACGCTGCAGAGGAAAAAAAGGTACCCACGAAGTTTTTCGTTTTTATAATCGGTGCAAATTTCCCAAAGAGCAAAGGTTGTGCAAAGAGTTCAGGGGTCACACAGGACGGCAGTAAAGAGGTGAATCTTACACGGATCCAGCTGCTCAAACATTTAACGATCTACAAGATAGAGCAGTCAAAATGACTTGTGCGCCAAATGCTGGCGTGTTCTCTTCATTTTTTATGTGCACGCAATGCACTTTGGCAGTCAAATATAATCATCTCGGTTTAATCGGCATATATTCCGTCGTACAAATAAACGTGTTGTGGCATATATATGGTGTATGTTAACACTGTACGGCGTATTAACATTTACTTGATGTGTGCATACATGTTAATGTAGAGGTAACTATTTCCTGAATGAACCAACACTCCTGATGTATTTTAAATATTTATGGCAGGACAGTAAAGTTGTATGGTCACCCACAAGACCTCAGCTCAGTTCATTCAGTAATAACTGCCGTTGTAATCACGGCATAATTAAAGTCACAAGCAAGGGCTTACCAGCTGTTAATGCATGCAGTGTGCCACTCATGATAACATTCCTATGGCCGGTTATCAGGCGCTGGACTTTTAAACCCATTGGCAATCTCTTACACATCACTGCTTTTCTGATACACATTAATGATCTTATCTCCGTTATAATTGATGCCGTGTTGTGTGCGTCCACGGGCCTCTTACTCCAATCAAAGCTTTGTTATATGAATGGCCGTCAAATATCAAGATTTGTTTAAGCGAGAGCGAATGTTCCTTCCAAGTCATTATAGCGCAACAAGTAACAGTAAGTTATACTCTGGGGGTCTAAGGGGCCGTCCATAAATGACGTCACGCGATTATATGACGATTTTTGACCCCCCCCCCCCCCTCGTTACACGGCGTCACAAAAAGTCAGACCCCCCCCTCAAATATGACGTCACAAAGCTCTGCCCCCCCCCCCCCACAAAAATAAAACATGCTTCAAATCGCTTTAAACTATTGTCATTGTAGTGCGTATTTAATGTGCCGCTGCACTCTGATGTTGTAGGATTTTTTTTATTAAGTAGAGCGTGTTGTCTATATTTATTGAAAGTCGCGTATTTTGATGTGACATCACATTTCACACCCCCCCCCCCCCTCGTCACACATCGTCACAAATGTCTGACCCCGCCCCCCCCCCCTAGGTGCGTGACGTCATTTATGGATGGCCCCTAAAAAGTGAACAAGAAAATTGTTCACGATGCCATCCGTAAAGCGAATAGGATCGTGGAGCACACATTAATCATCGTGGGACATGTTCATCACAAAAACACCTCGTCTCTATGTCCAGTGGGAACGGTGCTGGCACCGTGTTTGTGCTAAGCTCTGCCCTAGAGCCTGTTTGCCATGATAACCTTGCCTGAGTTGAGCAATCACGTGGAGTTCCATAACGAGGCCCCAGAGATCAATTTTGTACATCTTATGTTGAACTTCTTTAGCACCGTACATAGCCAACCGTGCTAATCTAACACCCCTTCTCCACTGGCAACGTGGGGCCCTTCTGGCATGGGTTGCTTTTCATTGGCTCTTTGTCAAACCGAATCAGAACCAAACTATCTATGGCCTCACAAAGGCATCTGAATCTGGCTCAGAGGCCAAGCAGGACCAGAGGGAAGGTTAATTATTTCCATCGTACGTTGTTGCCAGTCATAACACTTCAGCGTTACACGTTCATTGCATGACGTCGGCAGCACGGTATGGGTTCTGCAGTGGAAAAACCACCTACCGCCTCCCGTGCCATGCTGGCCTGGTTGTGCAGAGCTCCGGCATGGCTCAGTTGTATAGTGGGAAACAGGTATGAGAACAATACCAGAATAGGTTTTCCCCTTTTTCTGGCAACAAAACAGGTGTTAAGGTGTTAAAACACCAAACTGAAACCATGTCTGCATTAACCACAATACTTGTGGTCAGAAGGCAAACAAAAAACGTACTCTGATAATATATGCATTGTCTTTGAAAGTGATTGGTCCACACCAGAGACAGCTTTCTTTTGAGCTTAGTCTCAAAACGGTGTTAGACCAGAGGACGCCAAAAAGTGTAGGTCCCATAATGTACAACAATAGCAATTAAGAGAAGTAATAATGGTGTCACAGGATCAAAGTTTGAATTGAATCGCGCTTACTATGCCATCATATAACCTGCCGGTTGTGTTGTGTTCACGGTGCGTGATGGAAAATAACAAAAAGCAACATCAGCTTAAAAAAGTTTAACCCCATTATCACGGAGCTTAGGGAGGGCAAAGGTTAGAAAGTACGAAATGGAAGGGATGATGCAGGACCTCTGGCCCAAATACCGAATGGCTTAGACAATTCTAGGCCAAGATTTGTTCAGGATTTATGCTAGGAGATTGGGTACATTGTTGTGAAAGCATAAGATTAAGATCCCCCTTATCGCCTTAACAGACTGCTGTGGCAAGTGCTGTGAGCGAGTAGCAGCACCTTATGAAGGCCGTCACAGTGCACGAGGGGGAGCAGGGCCAGCACCACATCCGCCTTGGGTCTCCACGGTGCTGATGTTTTACACGCCGCACCAGCTACTTGTTTCAGGCTGAGTCTGACCTAGGGGCGAGGTTCAGGACTGGTTCAGATCCGCGTCTCTCGCAAAGACAAACACGGCGCACACAGCCACACACGCTCACAAACGCACACCCACGTAAAATGGTGTATAAATACTATCCCCACACTGACATGCACCATCACAAATCGACAAGGACCCCCCCCCCCTCCATATGCCTGAAACATACACAGAGCCATGCAGTGGGAAATGCCTGTAATTACACCGAAAGACGATCACATTGGTCAGGGAACAAAGACAAATTAGAGCTTTCATATTGACTGCAATGACATAAACAAATGTCCAGGTGCTCGGTGCATTTGTGTCATCATGAGACTATGAGGAACCCCACCAGCTTGGGGAGACCTTCCAGCAGTGAATATAATGCAGCTAACTTATTTGGGCAATGGCCATACTGTGTATGCACGTGTGTATGTATGTTGAACTTATTTCGCAATGTACGTAGGGCAACCGTGCTAATCGCACGTGCAGGGAAAGGACAAGAAACAAAACACAACAAGCAGTTCTAAAGCAATTCGTTTTCAATCTCGATTCAAAAGTGCATATCTCCAGTAGCTTCCTAATATCGGAATGAAGAATGCACGATCACAAGATGAAGCTGATAACGATGCTTAATGATCAAAAAAACATACTGCCAGGGATGTTTGGCGATGCTGATGATGAGAATGTTGCGATGAGGCAGGGGGCAAGGGGGAGGCTCACGGTGATGGGCGATTCTGTGATGTGTGCGTGCAGGGCCAAGCCACAGGGACCGCATCTCCTGGCGATCACAACCACTGCTCCGACCCTTCCACGGAATTCCCTTGTGGGCCCCACACTGCGTTGTCCAGCAATGGGGCCCCGTTGGAGAACGGGCTGCACGACAAACACAGGCAAGAGCGGCGGCTGCGGTCCAAGTCGGGACGGGGAAAACACCTGCGAGCCAAAATCCTACGTCCGCTAACAAATCTGGAAGCTGAGTCCAGAAATGTTGTGGCACTGGGGTTTGGTCGAATCTCAACAACGACAACAACAGCAGCAGCAAAAAAAATAGATCGCGTACATAGCCTGGAAATATCAAGCCACAGTAACGAGTAGACATGCGACGATTAATATCTCCAGCAGTTGAGTGAATTGTCACGATTCAAGTTTATAATTGGATTCAATTATCGATTCGATTGCAACATTTGGACTCACGGAGGCCAATCAGAATGTGGGCGCCTTCTCGGGTCTGCAGCAGTGTAAACCAAATAATTTTAAAAGCACACCTCAAACAATTCTCAAAATAATGTCATGGATGTTGATTTATGTACCAGGTTTTGTTCTCTAATATTTTTTTTTGTTACAAACAGCAACATGGTTTTACTTTACCCATTCTGAAATGTGAGGTATAGGTGAGTCATCATGAATATTGCTTTGAGCCAGAGACGACAGAGATACAGAGTGGCTGTGCATACCCTCAAAACGTTGCTTGTGGACACATACAGGATGTTTGTTCATTAATAATTTATAAATGCACATACACATGGGGCTTCGTTATTTACCTTGAAGTGCAGGGAGGCATAGCCGGCGCTGGCATCAAGGTTAGTCTGCCAAGTTATCTCCTTTTGGTGTTTACATTTGGCCCTGCTTATAAGATAGGAGTTGGAAACCAAAATAACAAGAATAGGCATTTTTGTTTTCGAATTCGGTGCAAAAAAAACTCAATATATATGAAGAGCCGCAATGCAATGTCAATACGAGACGGTGGTACTTGATAAATAACTTCACGAAGCAGTCCTTCAAGAGCCGCACGCTGTTTGCTGACCCCTGACCTACGAGGCCGGGTGCCATTATCATTTAGGAATACGTTCCTTGGTGGTCGTCATTAAAATTGTGGTTAAGCTGGATGCGGTGACGCGCCTTTAATCTCAATGTGGCATGGGTGCCTGGAGCGTGGTGAGTAGTCAAGGAGAGAGCCATTACTCTCTTCCCTTAGTCACTTCGGCGGTGTCTTACTCTATCCACTGGGGCTGTGCGTCCACGGGAAATAGATCGTGCACGCAGGGACTCGTGCTGCTTTTGTTTCTCAGATAAAAAAAAAACTGAACGATTGATAAACGTTGATTGAATACATCAGTGGCGAAAAAAATCTTGAATTTTGTCCATCCAATAATAGTTGTCTCGAGCGAATAATCACATCTGTCCAATTTCTCCATTAAACAATTATTGCCCGCTCTCCCGATCAAGTCACACCCGCTACAAAAGACGCAAACCTTGACATTTGAAAAGGGGGAAAAAACATTTGCTGGATGTCGGTGTTGTGCAATCTTGTACTACTTTTTGGTTGTGGAGTGATAATCAGAACAGCAAAGATTGAATTAAATCAAGAGAAGACACTGTTGGGTAGCTGGCTCGTTGTGGATCTAGGTACACGTGATAATGTCAGCTGTGCGAACATCCATAGAAGATGACAGTTGCACCATGCGAGCATTTCATTGACGGGGGCAGATATATGCGACGGGGTTGGATATGCGAGGTTCGGACACGCGACGCCATTGTTTCGTAAATTCTATCCCGCAGGAAGTCCGTGGAGGCGCACGAGCAACGAGGGAAGGTGTTCAGGCCCCGGTCGTCACTGCTCGAGTAGGCGGCACGAACGGAACGCGCGCACGTCCCGCACAGCACCTCACGCGCTTCCGGACTCTCGCAGCGTCACCTCCAGTTTACCCGTAAACGGTGGCGTTTTGATGAAAGCGAAGAAAAAAAAACGTTACTGCATCAGTGTGGGTTCTGATGTCAACGCGTGTCATGCAGTCGGAGTTAGTACTGCCAGATTTTATTTTTTCGGAGGCGTGGGGGGGGTAAACAGTACCCAACCTTCGTGAGAAAAGTGGCTAATTATCCCAGAGTAGAGCCTGCACACCTCCCCCCCCCCCCAAAACAAAAGCATAAATGTTTGGATTTGTTTTCTGAATCGTAAAAAAGTGCAATTAGGCACAAAATCACTCAGTCTGACAACTCTGCTGCGTGTGGAGTGTGTGCTGCTGTGGATTTCGTTTATCCGTTTTAAATTCTGTCACGATTTGCCTCTTTGGTTTACTTGTGCAAATGTTCAATCATTTATTGACTCGTTGGTCAACGTTATTAGCCGTTTCTCCTAGATGGCGGTGTTAGTTGTTGCCATACACAGGAATATAATCGACTTTATTTACTTACAAACAGGTGACAGCCCATTCAGGCTAAGAACCTCTTTTGCAAAAGAGACCTGGGTTAGCGTGCCAAAAATAATATGCAGATAAAACACGACACAAAGGTCTGAATATTATACAAAACAGAAACATCTCAAATTAACTTTACACATTAAGTAAAGCGGTTTAAATGTTACACAAGCTCAACAAATTTGTCAAGAAAACCTCCCTAAAACTAAAACGTGTGATAGGCAACTTTTCGGGAAATGGTCCTTCTATATCTCTCTGCTATGAATAGTTTTCGTTATTTGTACTTGCGCACCGCTGCTCATGGAAAAAAAAAACATCTTCAATTTACAATTCAGCCACGTAAGGCATATAAATAGAACTTAAAACGCACCTGTGAGACCTCGTGTTTATAATTGTGCATCATGAACAAAGGCGATTATAATTCTGATGATGAATATATAAGCACGTTGGCTTTTCCGTGCATTGTGGGATATTGTTCACAGTGAGATGCTGCTTGTCAACCACATCCGCACCATCTACCACATCTTCCTGGCGGTGCTGCTGCTCATGGCAGTCGCTTCCCTTATCCTGGACATCCTGCGCCACGACAGGTATATAATGATAAATAATTTTTAAAATATAAGTTTGCCAAAACCTCTTCGTTCGTGTATACTGCATCTCACAACGCTGAGGAAGCGCGAACACGCCGGAAGGCAGCAGCCAAGCGGTGAGCCGGTTCCAACAATTGCCCTAGCTCTGCGGTCCTCTGTGTATTAAGATGTTTTCAGCCAATGGATTACTGTTAATAAATGTGGGAGGAAGCCGGAGCAACCATGACAAACACCCACACGTGCAAGGGGACAACACTCGCTATAGCAAGCGGAAGCGCCTCATGAGCCCGGGTGTGGCACGTCGACGCCCACAGCAAGGGAGTTTTGCAGCACGTGTGGAGTTTCGCAGCACGTGTGGAGTTTCGCAGCACGTGTGCGGCCCACCAACCCTCGTCTCCACAGCGGTGGGTTACGGGCGTGCATAGCCACCTCCGCCCGGGGACACTAACCCCGCAGCGCGGAGCTTGGAGAGTGAGTACTGACACCACTGCCGGGCGATATCTGCAAGGATGGAATCCAATACCCACACCTCCGATTATCACGCTTGGCAACGTACGGTGCGAAAAAAGTTCATGCCCACAGAACCAGGGTCGGGGATTCAAGCATGCATAACGATTACAGATGGGCAAGTGATGTTGTGGCAATATGTAGGCATCGCCTGACAATTTCTGGTTTGTGATACCTTCACCATGTCTACATTTTAAAGTAATGCTCAATTTCGGCCATTATTTCTCCCGTCGTTCCACCGTTCCCACCGCCACCGTTCCCACCGCCACCGTCGTTCCCACCGCCACCGTTCCCACTGCCACCATTCCCACCGCCACCGTCGTTCCCACCGCCACCGTTCCTACCGCCACTGTTCCCACCGCCACCGTCGTTCCCATCTCCAGTCCTCGTCGCCCCCCATAATGCAGCACTCTGTGATTCCTCACCTAGTCCGTTCGTGGGAAAACGATGCCTCTACGCATTTAATTCACCGTCTGATAAGCTTTCACGCAATCTTAGCAACATCGCCATAATGCTCGTGGTGCAATCACTTTGCGTGGGACCTATGAAGGCCATCACAGTGCACAAGGGGGTGGTGTGACAAGCAACACACCCGGCCGCCTTTATCTTCCCAGTGCTGCTGTTGACGAACCATGCCGGGTACTCATTTGAGGCAGGGTTTGACCTCGGCGAGGCCCAGGGGAACCAGTTCAGGCAACCGCCGCTGTGGTTCGCCGTGGCCGGGAATTAAACTCGGATCGCCGTGTTCGTAGCGCAGCGCGCTAGCCGCAGCGCCACCACTCCCCACGCCAACACGCGCACACACAAACACAACGGGCGCCGCGCTCAGAACGATGTGCTTCCCTTCTCTCTCTCTCCCCACGCCGTGGCAGGTTGCTCCCCGACATCAGCTTCGTGATCTCCTGCTTCGGGAAGCTCCACCTGGTGGCGCTCACGTGGGGCGCGATGTTCGTGGCGACGCTGCTGGTGCCCTACGGGGCTCTGCACGCCTGGGCGCGCGCCTGGTCCCTGCTGCTGACGCGCCCTGGAGCGGAGCTCCGCGGCTGGGCCCTCGCGCGCTCCTCGCCGCTCCGCGCAGGGACCCTGAGCGCCGCGTGCGCCCTGCCGTACGTGGCCTTCGTGCTGCTCGTGCTGGGCGTGCTGCCCGTGTGGGTCTGCGTGGCCCACGTGCTCCCGCCCGCCTCGCGCTTCATCCTCATCCTCGAGCAGGTGTGTGCCGGGGATGCCGCCCGTTTGGGCTCGTCGTCGTTTTTCTCGATGTTGGGAAGCCGCTGGAGCTACGCAGCGTTTCAATCCGGATTGAAAAGTCGTTTCTTGAGAACTTGTTTTTTTGTGTGCTTGGTTTGTTGTCCTTCCCCCCCCCCCGCACCTCCAATTAGCACGGTTGGCTACGTACATACATATAAATCATACATACAAGCATACAGACAAATCATACAGACATAAAAATCGCGTGCAATAACAATGCAATGCCTGTGGAGCTGAGATTCACGGTTCGAATCGGTGCCCCCCCCCCCCCCTCCGATTAATGCCAGGGTGTATTCACCATAAAATACACGCCGTCTGCTGCTTCGCAGTGGTCGTTAAAGACCCCGTGTGCCCGTGTCATGGTCCCTGTTTGGAAAATCACTCGCAAATTGCTCAATTGGGATCATGCATAGCAATCATCTGCCAAAACTTGGCAAGGCCCTCCTTTATAAAGAGCAATGAGATTCGGTGAGGCCTTTCTGGGTAAACAAGGCAATTGTATAATACAGTGTAATAGAGTAAATAATGATCATGTGTGTTGAACTTCTTTCGCGCCACATATAGCCAAGCGTGCTCATGGGAAGTGCGGGCGAAGGACGACAAAGACGATAACGATGCCGCTGCTGCTTGTGCCGCCCGCAGGTGCGGTTCGTGATGAAGGCCCACGCGTTCGTGCGTGACAACGTCCCGCGCGTCGCACTCTCTGTGCACCCCCAGGGTCAGCGTGCACTCGGAGCACACTCCGGAAGTCGTGCCATTCCGATCACAAATAAAATACAGGTGGCCAGTGCCCACGGCCACTCAGGCGTCATCTTGAATAATGTCAGCTAGGCCAATGATCTTCATTCTTCATTGCAAGGCCCGTGGGCCATTGGCGGCCTGTAGTGCGGCCCCCTCACCTGCAACCTCCGACAATACACAAATCTGAAAACATTCCGCTCATCGTGCTGTCAAACCCTGACGGTTTCAAATGTGTCGCAACGCTCACACTGATGTCTTGTACGTAAAAGTTCCCCACCTCCTCCTCGGGAAATGAGCTGCACCAATTTAACCCTCACCAAAAGTCAACTCGCATCAATACGACTGTGACCCATGCCATGCACCAAAAAAATGACATAGCCATATACAGGGTGCTTAAAAAAATGTTTAACACTTATATGGGACTATCGTTTTTAATGGGAACAAAACGTATAATACACTTTAACACGCCTGGAATCTTCTCCAGGTGGTCTCCAGAGCCCGGAGGCACATTTCTCGTGGTCTTGTTGCAAATTCTCAGAAGTGTGAACATGTTTTTGAAGCACTCCGTATTAACACTATTCACAGCACCAAAGCTCACAACTCACATTGCTCTAATCCACGTCTTAAATTCCACTTCGATTTTTGGTTTGCCAGTAAGAGGTGACACAGACTCTGAATGCCTCTACTGGACATCTGTGAAAAAGAGCGTTGCAGCTCATGGGATTCCTCCCAAGGCCGTAATTATATTATACATTTGGGGACATCCCCCCCCCCAAATATATATTCAAATATGCTCAAAATGAACCCCCCAATATATTGCTATATAATAATTGCTATAAAATAGATTTATGTTCATATTATTGTGGTTATGGTTGTACTTTATTAATCCCTAATCTCTGCCATTACATACAATGAAACAAGAAAAGGTAAAAAAGATAAAAACAGAGCAATGTAATACAATACACTATTATGCATTATTATAAAGAAGAAAAAAAGTCCATCCTATGTGTTAGTGAATTTTTTAATATTTTAGGCAGGAAATTCTTTTCAAATTTAGATTTTTTTTCTGGGGGGGGGACCTCCAGACCCCCTGGAAGATTGGGTCCCCCCCAATGTTGACTCCATGGCTACGGCCTTGATTCCTCCAGTAAAAAAATATTCTGATTCTGTCTCTGTTCTTCCACATTCAATTGTTCCAGGCCCCAACTCATCGCTGCCCAGCATCTCCCAGTACCTCTACTATCTATTCTGCCCCTCACTCATCTACCGCGACAGCTACCCCAGGTGAGCTTTCGCTCGCCACTGAATTTAGCAAGCGAGAAGAGTCTCCCTGTCCAAACAGGAAACGTCCCGGACAGCCGGACAGCCAGACAGAGATTCGGAGGGACATCTCCGTGTTTGTTAGACATTAACTGAGCTGCGATAACACGGTCTACGCAACCGTGTGCTTTGGTGATGCAACAACAACGGATGCTCCTATGGCCGGATCTGATGTGACTTTGATGATGATGAACTTCCAGGCGAGTCCAAAACGATGGAAGGGAATGTGAATGTGTTTGTATTTGACCAATAGGACCGATCTTTGGCTTCACAGACTTTTTTTATGCTTTTGAACAACACGGACTCTGTGTGTGTGTGTGTCTCTATGAGTGAGTGTGTGTTTATTATCAGGCCCCGTGATATAAAGTGAAGTCTCCAACTGTTATCCACTCTACCTCTCTGGCCTCTCCTATGTACGTGCTATAAAAGAAGGGGCTTTGCCAAAACGTCACCTATTATATATTTTTCCTTTTACGGCAGTAATATTAACAAATTTGTTAATTTTTTTTTCGAATTGTGCATGTATCTCTATGATTCTGTATATTTGTATGAGTTTTATGTATATCTCTATGAGTTTGTGGCTATCTCTATGAGTTTGTGAATATCTTAATGAGTGCGTTTATATTTTGATGAGTGTCTGTATATCTCTGCGAGTGTGTGTATGACTCTATGAGAAACTGCATCGACACGGACTTGAGTTGCAACTTCAGTCCGGTGTTTTTCCCCCCCATATCTTCCGCTTGCTTTCCACCGTGCATTTGTTTTCAAAGGTGCCCACTCCAGCCCGCGCTGCGACTCTGTTGTGAATGACTTTTCTTTCCTTTCAATCCCTCAGAAACACGTCCATCCGCTGGGACTATGTGCGCACCAAGCTTGCCGAGGTGAGGCTCCGATCCCACAGCCTCTCGTCTCGTTCGCACCTGCACCCTCGCGGCCTGCAGCCTGGCTCGCACCCATCCCGAGGGCTCGTGGATTGAGCATAGATCATCAGGAATGTGAAATTCGCACACACACACCCAGAGGCAGCGAGATGCTCGCCCAGCAAGAATGGATGCTGATCTGCGTGTACGAATGTCCGCGTGTTATCCCATGCCATGCGGGGTTTCTCCAGGCACGCGAGTTTCCTCTCGCATGCAGGAAAGGCCACCCCCCCCCCCGGCCTTCGCACCTTAATGGCTCACAAGTGACGACATCACAATGATCTCCTCTATTTAAGACCGAAACCACAGGGTTTCTCCACAAATCTGGCTGTTGCCCTTATGAAGCTAGTTGGCATTCCTGGCAAAACGTCGTACTCGAATTGTAAATGTTGTGGGTTAACTCTCCAACACACCGGCGTGCTGTACTAGTAACTAATTGGCATGTTCTATTTACGTGACAATCCTTACTAATTGGCTGTGTCGGGTGGTGACGGGTTTAACGGCACATTTCTATTTACGTGATCTAACCCAAAAACCTCTATTATGGATACTATTGGTTGCGAAAACCTACGTGTTAAAGTGAGGAAAACCCATTTAGGTATTGACCAACCATGTCAAGCTTGACGCTTCTGAAGAAGAATGCTGAGACTGAGTTGAGGCTTTCCCGGGAAAATTTCGCAGGGAAATTATAGATTTTTACACAATACCGTTTCACGTAATGCAAATACACTGCGAATCATGTGCACTTGCACTTACAATATAATTTGTAGTCGTGTAGCGTATAAATGCGAGCGCATCTGGAGCTATGCCACAGCCATGCAACTTTGCAATCGTCTAGATTGACGAACTAATTTATTTAGAAATGCCTGTTGTGTTGAGTTTGCTGTCCTTCCCCCACGCCTCCGATTCGCTATGTACGGTGCAAAAGCAGTTCGACACACATTCAACCGCGCTAATTGAAGGTGCGGGAAATAGCAATACCACTGCTACTCCTGCACCCTGACCCCCCCTCCACTCGTGCCCCCCCCCTGCCCCCCCGCAGATGGCGTGCATCTTTGTGTACGGCCACTTCATCTTCCAGTGCCTGGTGGTGCCGCTCTTCCAGGACGTGCAGCACGAGCCGCTGACACTCGAGCGGCTCGTGCTCTACGTGTGCCACGCCATGGTGCCCGGTGATGGCCCAACCACGCACTGACACACACAACAACAACAACAACCACCGCCATTTGCCACTAAGTGGCGGTGACGTCACCACGACGCTTGTGCCAGGCCATGTGCACCTTGAGGCCACGTGAAGTGTCGAACGCCCGCTGGCAGGAGGTCACGGGGCAGACCCAGCAGGTGCCACGGGTCGACTGACCGAGATGATCGAAATGACTGGCTGATGCACCACCTGACACACACACACAGACAGACAGACAGACAAAGATCCCCCGTGTAGCCTTAACAGACTGTAGGGGCAAGTGCTGTTCGCGAGCACCTATGAAGGCCGGCACGGTACACGAGGGGGTGGTTGGCCAACACCACACCCGGCCGCCTTTGTCTCCCCAGTGGCAATGTTTACACATTGCGCCAGGTACTCATTTGAGGCTGAGTCAACCTAGGGGAGGCCCAGGGCCGGTGTTGGCCGTGACTGGGAATTGAACCCGGGTCGCAAGGTGCGTAACGCAGCGCGCTAACCGCTACGCTACCGCTCCCCTGTGACTGACACACACACACTCACACACACTTGCACACAGGCACCCTGCTGTTCATCATCACCTTCTTCGCCTTCCTGCACTGCTGGCTGAACCTGTTCGGAGAGCTGATGCGCTTCGCGGACCGCATGTTCTACAAGGTGAGCGTAGCGCGGGCGCGTGAAAGCCCCCGTGGGTTTGGCATTGGCAGAAACACACGCGGGAGCTAATGGGGGTGATTGGTGACGGTGCGTTATAGGAGCGCTGATGTAGTCACGAGGAAATAGCGAAGAGACGGAAAGTGTCGTCTCTCCACGTGAAGTAACGTGTACATTCTGTTGCTATCGGACTATTAAATTGGCAGTGGTGCACAAGCACAATCAACAGAAAAACACTCAACGCGTTCGTCAGCAACACCGCCTGAAAAGTAAACAATATATATGTGATGCAACGTTTTAGGACATTGATCCTTACCGACGTGCTCTGAAGAAGAGCCACTGCTAGAAACGCCGTCTATTACATATTTATTCTTTTAAGGCAGTGTTGCTGACAAAAGTGTTGAGTTATTTTCTTTCGCCCATAAAAGATCTGTACCGTAATAACATCTGTACCATTGCAGGATGCCTATAAAATACAGCTCAATGGGCCCTCCCTGTTGATATAAAACCAAATCTGCACAATGTGTCCCTCTATCTGTTCTCTCTAACACACACATTGGAGCGGTTTCAGTTAAGAAATCATTGGCACTGCCACAGTGTAGAGATGATAAGGCCTGGTCACGTGTGTGTGTTCGCGTGCGTGTTGCGGTTAGCACGCTGTGCTTCGAACCCCAGTGACCCGAATTCGAATTCCGCTCATGGCCAAAACCAGTAATGATTATCTTAATAGTTCCTGGGCCTCCCCTCGGTCGACTCAAACTCCAATGAGTACCCAGGGCGGTGTGTAAACATCGCCACTGGGGAGACAAAGGCGGCCGGGCGTGGTGTGCTGGCCACCAACCCCCTCATGTGTCGTGCCGGCCTTCATAGGTGCTGCTCGCTAACAGCACTTGCCCCAACAGTCTGTCGAGGCGATACGAGGGATCTCTGTGTCTTTGTGTGCAGGACTGGTGGAACTCGCGCTCGTTCGCCAATTACTACCGCACGTGGAACGTGGTTGTCCACGACTGGCTCTACACGTATTTCTACGGGGATCTCATCAGGGTACGTGCCCTGGCCGCCCTCCACCTCGCAGGCTGGGCAGCCCAAAGGCCGTGCCTCATTACCCCCCCCCCCCCGCCGCTACCCTCCATGGCACCTGGCTGGATCGTAATCGCTGCTCGCTAAAAGCACTTTTATTGAACGGACAATTTGATGAATTGTTACTACCCGGTTTGAGCTCGCTGGTTCGACAGTTCAAATGCTGGATTATTGCTTTTTCCGCCTGAGGACGACCGCTTGTGTCGCGATCGAAGCGTCGTGATATATTATTTTTTGTTTCATTTAATTTTTCTACCAACGTGACTTTACCGAAAGAACCAAAGAGTATGGATTCCTGCGGTCACGAAAGCTTCAAATCAAGATTGCTTCGTCTCCTTTGTGTTGTCTGTTTTGTTGTTTCTCTTTCGCTCCATTTGCCTGAATGTAACATTTATGTATCACTCGCACGTACATTTATAAACTACTACACCATTTTTAAACTCAACTATTTTCTATTTTACCAGGTAAGCCCCACTGAGTTATATTGCTCTTTTTCAGAAGTGACCTGGCCACAAATGATAGCTCAACTTATAGTGGCTTATCATGTGCAAAGGTATCCTAGCCAAATACTCTGCACGAATGTTTCTAAATGTGGATGGAAAAATCGGAGGACCCGGAGATAAATCCATGCCACCACAGGGAGAACACGCAAACTCATAATATAAAGCAGGCGTCAGGGTCGGGATTGAACCCACACCAGGCGAAGTATTTAACATCTCGCCGCCATAATAAGATGTTAAATATCAGAATAGGGGTTTTCCCCTTTTTTCTGGCAACAAAACTGAAACCGTTTTTACAAGGAATCATGTCTGCATTAACCACAATACTTGTGGTCAAAATGCAAACAAAAATACACTATATATGCATTGTCCTTGAGCTGTACATCTTTTGGCGTCCTCTGGTTTAGCACCAATTGAGACGAGGCTCAAAAGAAAGCCGTCTCTGGTGTGGACCAATCAGTTTCAAGGACAATGCATATATTATCAGAGTGTGTTTTTTGTTTGCATTTTGACCGCAAGTATTGTGCACATGATTCCTTGTAAAAAGGTTTCAGTTTTGTTGCCAGAAAAAAGGGGGAAAACCCATAATCTTATATTTTGGTACTGGCAAAGGAGGTCTCATGATGAAGCTGTTAAATAGTTGTACCGAATCCGTACGTGCACGATTCCATGAATGTATCGCGAGCATGACGATATATTTTACATGAGCGCGCCGCAACCTCGATGAATCATCCAGTGCCTCGTACAATGCACCTGCGTGGCCCAGGTGTTCTCACGGCGTCACCGCAGGGCTGCCATGCTGATTGTCTTCATCTTCTCGGCGATCGTGCACGAGTACGTCTTCACCGTCTGCTTCGGCTTGTTCTGCCCGGTGATGCTCTTCCTCTTCATATGCTTTGGCAGTGAGTGACGCCATCACACGTTTGCAGACGCGCGCGCACGCACGCACTCCGTGCACCCACGCCGTCACTCGCTGGTTCCCGTGCGATAAGCGGATCGATGGGATCGTGGTCAGCAGTCGACATGATAGCGTCAACGATCGGAGTTGCACAATGCCACTGCGGTTCCTCAGCCCACCTTCGTGTCGACATCGACTGCTTCCGCACTTGGCCGCCTAAAGGGTTTCCACCCGTAAAGGGTTGCCCGTTTACGGAGAAACAATGATTTTTTTTTCACACGTATATTAAATTCATTAGTTATACATTCATTTGTATGGCACGTTTGTACTGTTTGTTGGTGTGTAAATGACAAACGTTTGATTTAGATTTAGTTCAAAATAAGCTCATATTTTTCATACTGAAAACAATTGCTGCCCTATCTTTGCAAGATTGAACAAACAACAATAAAACACTTTTTTTTTAACACGTAAGCTTTCGAGACCAATATCATCCATTATAGAGGTGAAGCTGGCGAAACGTCGTACTCAGATTGTAAATGTCGTGGCTTTGCTCTCCAACAAACCGGCGTGCTGTACTAGTGAAACATTTAACATGTTCTGTCTACGTGACAACCCTTACTAGTTGGCTGTGTCGGGTGGTGGCGGGTTTTAACAACACATTTATATATTCACGCGATCTAACCCAAAAACACTTCTATTAAGTTTTTTTTTTAATAACGTCAAAATGAGGGTAATGCGTGCATTCCTGTTTGTGTCACTTCACATCCATGTGTGTGTGGACTTGGAGAGTAGCTTACAGAACCCAAACGTGGGTCCCATGACAAATGCATTCTCAACGTTGCTGATCGTGCAACCGCCCCTTGATCCCACCCCGTCTCTCTGCAGTGGTGCTGAACTTCCTGCTTCACGACGGGAGGAGCAATGACGTGTGGAACATCTTCATGTGGTTTGCACTGATCCTGGGCCAGGGTGTCCTGGTCACTCTCTACTCTCTGGAGTGGAGTGCCCTGCGACACTGCCCTTCGAAACCGGTGCGTGGAACTCAGCTTTTCCTCTGCCACATGTAGAACATGTGAAATTGGTCTCCTTGTTGCAGTAATTTAGTTTGTTCGTGTCACATAGCCTCATCTAACCCATGCCTGGGTGAGCTTAACCCACGCTAGAGGTGGCAAGAGCAGGAGTGCCACGCGTTGCTCGGCATGTCCCACATTTCACTCCACGAGTACATGAGAATCTTAGCCCACAGATCCCCATTGCTCAGGAACTAGAAGTGCCCTTTCTGGTAATGCAAAGCCGGGTTCCCCAGTGTTTGTGGACGTGATGCATCAGATACCCTGGTGCACAGTCCCATGTTGGGCCCCCTGGCAGTGGCTTAACTCGAAGCAGAAAGGTGGTTCATGTAACGGGCATTGCAGGGCCCCTAAACAAGCACACGTGGGCCCATATGGGACAGCAGGGCTCACCCATTCATTTTTCATTGGCATATCAGTCGGAAGCCCCCCCGCCCCCTTCTGGGATTTAGACCCTGGCATCTGCACCAACTAACACATGGTTGGTCCAGTGCTGTTCGTCTTACAAAGTGAAATGTGCCTCTGTCCTCTCTCATCTCTGTGGAATTTGGTTCTCTGTTCACATTTACTCCGGCAGCCACACGAAAGATGATTTACTACACATGTCCAGTAGAGGGCACAGGACCTCTTTCCAAACAGAGTTCCGTGCAATTTGCTTTTAGCAGAGCTGTATGCAATGAATAGTACGATGATGCTGATGACAGCAGTGCATCGTTGCTTTGTTGGGGGTGCACGCACATCTTCATATTGCTCATTTGTCCACGTGTTCCTTTCTGTTTTCGTTTTTTTTAGGAAACCGTCTGGGAATTCATCACCCCACAATTCTGGTCTTGTTATGCGTCGCGGTAAGGGGCTGGGAGCTGCGGCGGCGATGGCAGCGAGGATGGGGACCATGGGGGTTTGGGGAAATGGGGGGAGAGAGAGAGAGAATCTAATGCCGAGACAACGCCATGGGGTTGAGGCTTAACGAACATGAAGACTGAGAATGGAACATGAGGTCCAGTCTTGATGCCGACCGTGTTTTGCAGGGAAGCACAGCGACGCACACGCTCTTTAACAGCATTCACGCGCACAGCGTCAATGCCAGGGTTGCCGAGCCACAGTGTGCACTTTACACGAGGGCCTCTACAGGCACACATGGATCAATGCAGATGCCGACATGCCCGTTGCTTTGCCTTGACTTTCACGAGCACTAGGCCACTATCCCTGGCAGTTTGCGAGCTCATGAACACGCACACACTATTCACTTCCAAATGGTTAAACAACATCGGCAAAAAGCTGATATACAATCGACCGGCACATTCACCTACGCTTTAAGGTTTAAATTCTGTCGTGGCCTCTTACTTGTAACGTATCATTACGTCGTAGATGATAATCTGCTTCATGCTTGAGACCTTTGAATATATGTTTTTCACTTATTGCAAATCTGCAATGTTTTTTTGTTGTTATGCTGTCAAAGAATTTATGATTGAACTTTGAACTACAATGCACATTCAGGTGTTAAAATGCATCTTGGTTTTACAGGCCATGTGATGTGTCCTTTTGTCAGTGTGCATTACCAGCGAGAAAAATCTAAATGTCACGTAATAATGTATTTGTATTGAATAAATGGAATGAAAATTTTTTTAAAATATGCTTCACAAGCAGCCTATTGTATAATATCGATCACATGGTCCGCCCTGTATATTTCATCATCGCTTTTAACCTGGTCTTGCCTCTTTAACCTGGTAGTGCCTACACACAGAGTGCTTGATACAAATGAACGACAATACCTTGCTGATTTCGTCAAAGAGCATACATCACCACACAAACTCCGGTCATCCTCGCATTGGCTTTTGGCTAACCATCGAACAAAGACGGTCATTGCATAGCGCTTTCAGACGGGCTTCTGCAGCCGTCTGGAACGCTCTCCTTTTGATATTAGGAAGCCACTGAAGCCATGCACTTTTAAATGATCTAAATTGAAAACTTCTTACTTTAGAACTGCTATTTGTGTTTAGTTTGTTGTCCTTCGCCGCACTTCCGATTAGCACGGTTGGCTACGTACGGTGCGAAAGAAGTTCAACACTTTACCAAGTCAGTTCCTGGTAAAACCCACCGATTACGTTGGAAACTGCTGAATTTTCGTGTGACCCTTAGGAAGATATTTTTGGTTTTTAAATCGCCACCCATTTATTCCCAGAGGGCTGATTGAGATGGCAGTGGAAACATCGAGAAGTCTCAACGTGACGTGAAGAATATAATTAACGATTGCTTACAAATTTGCGTGTAGATTATTTGGCTACCCCCCATGAGTTCTGAGAAGTGATGATGATTATGACGATGATAAAGCCACTCCGATGAGCTATAATTGTGTAGCCAGGTCGCCTCTGGAAAAAGAGTTTATATCAGAGGCGGGCTGTTCCTGGAAAATTAAAGTTTAGTTTGCTTTTATATTTGTTTTGAATCTCAAGCATTCAAAAAGTTTAACAAATAAGTACAGGGAAAAAAAAACGCCACCGTTTTGGTTATTCCACACCACATTGCGTTTATTCACTTTTACAGGTTTAAGTGCTAAAATCGGTTTGGAATTTGAACGTAATTACGTGAACAATGTTACACATTTATCTGTAAATAGCCGATTTGGACGCAATAAACCTTGGGAGTTTGATTGTGTGCACCACGGAGGATTTTGCGTTGTGCATTCGACGTGGTCCTGTGCCACCGTTACGCGCGTGCAGAAGGACTCAGCTGTGCCCCAGAGTTCACACGGGGTGGGGGTGTGGGGGACATCTTTAAAGAGCTTACAACTTGACGTTCTCTGTACGATTGTGAAGAACGGGAAAAAATGCTTCCCGTTCTCTCGTTTCTGTTTCGTGCATAGTGCAGAGCTCCCGCTGAGGCAGATGCGCGTGGTGAGAGATTCACGTGTGCCGAGAGCCGGAGTGCACGCGTGTGTGTCTTTGTGGTGCAGTGTGTGTGGAGTGCAGTGTGGAGTGCAGCGGTTAGCGCTACGCTGCACTACGGACCCCGGCGACCCGAGTTGGATTCCCGCTCACGGCCAACACCAGTGACGGTTATCAGAACCGGTGCTGGGCCTCCCCTAGGTCAACTCCGCCTCAAATGAGTACCTGGTTGCGGTTTGTAAACATCGCCACTTGGGAGACAAAGACGGCCGGGAGTAATGTTGGCCACCACCCCCTCGTGTGCCGTGCCGGCCTTCATAGGTGCTCACTAACAGCACTTGCCCCAACAGTCTGTTAAGGCTATACGGGGGATCTGTGTCTTGTGGTGCCATGTGGAGTTGTATCTGCGTGTGTATTGAATGATATTAGCGTGTGCAATGTTGGCTGGGCACACAGAGTGCAGTGCGTAGCAAACGCTGTACGTGGTTGTATGTACGTTAAACTTATTTCGCACCATACGCAGGCAACCGTGCTTATCGCAGTGCTGTGTGTTGTAGTCACTAGAGGAATGGGAAGTACTGGAGTGACTTCTACCGATGTAGCGGCGAGTGCTGGTAGTTCATTAATTATGTGTTTTCAGTTGGTGCTACAAGTATTTAGTAAGTGAGTTTAACACGTAGGCTTTGGCGACAAAATATCCACAACAGAGGCTTTTTGAGTTAGATAGCGTTAAAAATAAGTGTCGTGAAACCCGCCACCTTAGTAAGTTGCGTGCAATAACAAAAGGTTAGTGCCACTCTGGAGAATGTGTACTGAGACTTTAGTTAGTAGCACTGCATGCAGTTATTTATACATACTACCTCGTGTGGGATATACAATTTTGTCCGTGTGCAGAAAGTGTTGTCTTAAGTACCCCTCAATGTATTAGTAAGTGCTCTAGAAGTAAAGTGAGGTTATTCGTCATCGTCGTCGGCATCTTCACTGCAGGATAAAGAGGGCCGCCGTAGGAATCCCTCACGATGCCACCACAACCCACATCGCTTCTTGTGCACGAGCTTCGTCGCATCGTTTCACCTCCGCCGTGGTCGTCCTTTTGGGACCACCTCCTCCTCTCGCTGCCATTCCACAGATTCCAATTCGATAATTGGTTTTTACCCTTCTATCTGGCAACAAAACTGACACTTTTTTACAAGGAGTCATGTTTGCATAGACCACAATACCTGCAGTCATAATGCAAACAAAAAACACACAACTCTGATAATGTATGCACTGTCCTTGAAGTTGATTGGTCCACACCCGAGACAGCTTTCCTTAGAGCCTAGTCTCACATGGTGTTGGACCAGATGACGCCAAAAGGCGCACAACTCAAAGATCAACTTCAAGGACAGTGCATACATTATCAGAGTTATGTTTTTTTTGTTTTCATTATGACTGCAGGTATTGTGGTCTATGCAAACATGACTCTTTTTAAAAAAGGTGTCAGTTTTGTTGGCAGATAGACGGGTAAATAACCAATTATCATATTTTTTACTGGCAAATGAGGTTCCAATGGAGATTCCAATTCGTCACCCTGCCACGAACGTCGCCCCTTTGGTCACTTTTCCTAACGGTCGTTACGATGTCTTTAAATGTGCACTTGCTTGCTAATCCACGTGTTCCTCTTCACACATCTATCCAAGCTGCTCTGTGTGTTATTCAACTTCCCTTCGATTTTCTTCGTCAACGTATCTGGTCCATTTGTCTCTCACCGATTAAAAATCTACTTTTTTCGGCACACTAGCATGTTACTTTTCATGATCAAGATGGGTCGTACTTTCTCCAATTATGTTTGTGCCTTAATTCCACCCATCAATTAAAAAAAACTGATATCTCTGCTCATCGCGCATCTCCGTACCCAACTCCTCCTCTTGTGCCTCGTGTTATTCGTATCGTCTCAGCGTTGTGGGATGCACATGATTACATCTTTGCGTGGTACTGAGTGTTGCGTGCGTGGTAGCGAGTGTTGAGGAGTGCTTCGTGTCTCGCTCTGCAGTGTGTGCGATGCGCAGTCGGTCGTTTACAAGTACCCCGTATCCTTGAAGTGAGCCATTGGTGTAAACTATGGTAAGGCCTACTGAGCTATGTAGCTCTTTTTCAGAAGCGACCTAGCCCAAAATGACAGCTCAGCGAAGCGGCTTACCGCGTGGAAATTTATAGCAGCCAAATACTCTAAACGCGCGTTGATTCTACATGTGGAGAGAAAACCGGAGGACCCAGAGAAAAGAACACGCACACTCCCAATATACAACAGGCGTCCGGCTCGGCATAAAACCCACGACCTCCTGTGTACCAGGGGAGGTAGTTAACATCTCGCCACCGTGACGCCACCGTGGTATGAAGCGACAGCAAATGCACCAGTGCCCGCTCTGCGAGTGACAACGGCCAGCTCCGAGCGACGGCTACATGGGCGTGGAGCCCCCCCTCCCCTCCTGCTTCTTCGCCTTCGAGCCTCCGCCGCCCCTGCGGAGAGAGCAGAGGCGCCACAGGAACGCGCCGCACGCCAGCGCGCCCGCCAGCGCCACGGCGAAGAGCGAGTACAGCGCGACCGCCGCGTCGTCTGCGCTCATCTCTGCACCCATGAAGAGCACGTGGCCGGGCTGCGGGATGCTCTCGAGAGTCGCGCCCGGCTTGGGAGACGACGTCGGACGTTCTGTGGTCGTCACTGCGGGAAGCGGACACGTCTCCGTGGTGTCATCGTTGACACATTGGACTTGCAATCCATAGGTCACCAATTCCATCTTCCAGTGCGGCAGTTGAAGTAATGGGGCAAGTTTCTTAAATCCCCCCCAACTCTGTCTACCCATGTAGTACCAATGGGTACATCACGGTAGTTTTAATCAGCACGTCACGTGCGCTGGAATAAAGCGTGGGTAATAGCACCTCATCCCGTGACATCTGGCCAACCCACACTCGAGTAGGCTAAATACTTTTCAGAGAGGCTGTCCAGAGCTCCCTCTAGCGGAAGCCCTTCGCCAGCAGTGGCAACAGCAAGCAATTTCAGCGCTGCACCTTTACCACAATATTAACCATCACAAATCGAAATGCAGTAAAAACATACATGATTGTAACCCGATAAATTACCTGAACATTGCATGAACTACAATTATGGTCAGGGTCAGGCTCATGAGAGGTCAGGTACTCTGGTAGGTTGGATTAGTTGGAATTACAGACCTACAATGGCCAGACATGTTACACGACCAGTCAGAAGGACTCCTACTGCCAGAGCTGATCTTAAGCGACTGAATGGATAGTTTTTTTTTTCTCCAGCGGACACTTAAATTAAAGAAGGTTCCCTCTCGTGCCCTTGCTGGGTCACCCTACACATCCCGTGTCGCCCCTACCTTGGGGCAGAGCGCAGGGAGGGAGCGGCTGGTCGGGGTCCGGGAATCCATTGCAGCTGATGAGCGAACGGAGGAAGGCGGCCGAGGCCTTGGGCACGCGCGTGCGCTCGGGCACTGTGGTGTCCACGTGGTAGAGGCCGAAGCGCTCCTGGTATCCTTCCGTCCACTCGAAGTTGTCCATCAGCGACCAGGCCGTGTACCCTCGTACGTCCACGCGGTCCAGCGTGACGGCTGCGCCAGCAGCGGCCGCAAGCGGTGGGTGCAGGTGTTGTAAATCAATTGCAGTGCACAATTCAGTCCAATAACGATGGGGTCTACCATTTGCTTGGTGTGTGTGTGTTGGGCTTCTTTTGCGCCGTGTGTAGCCAACCGCGTATATAGGATTTGGTTCTTATATATAATTAATGTACAGCGTTTTGAGATGCTGTTGGCACGAATGACGCTATATAATATGAAAGTTTTATTTTTTATTCACTGATTGGTGTACTTCCAACGAGAGGTAGTTTACGTATGAGTTCCACCATCTATCAACCGATATTGAAACACCAGATAACCAATACAATCATTTAGAAGTTCCCCAGTTGCTTTGAGGAATGCTGTGGTTCATTACCGGGGTTCAATTAACCCCATCGCTTGGGATCTCCACGATCTATAACACAGCCACAGACAAGTCCAGCTGTGGAGAGCACTCACGCAGAACAAGTTATAATTTAATTTATTTTATGATTACGCGTGTTTACCCAGGAAAGCCCAAGACTCTATTTCAGGAGGGTCCTGATAGGTTTTCGCAAGTAGGCCGCGCAACGTTGTGTGTGTATGTACGACATGTTGAACTTCTTTCGCACCGTACTGTAGCCAACCGTGGTAATCGGACTGTGCAGGTGAAGGACAACGAACTAAAGGGCAAAAATCGTCATCAGGTGGGACAACCACAGCAAGAAAAAACTACGTCAGCAGTTTTTTCTTGCTATTTTATGAAAACTACTTCAGCAGTTTTTTCTTGCTGTGGTTGTCCCACCTGATGACGATTGCTTGTGTTGCGATCGAAATGTCGTGATCTATTATTTTTCTACCTACGTGACTTAACTGAAATAACCAAAGAGTATAAAGACACAAAATCATGTTGCTGTGTGTAATCCCAAATTAGTTAATTTGCATTTAAAAAAATCCAGCAATGGAATATTTGGCCAATACCAGTTACGTTGTAAGTATTCTCAGCTATGGGAGGAAACTGGAGATCGTGGAGGAATCCCATGCGGACCAGGGAGAGAACACACAAAGTCCACACAAAAGGCACGCGATTTGGGACTCATACCCTGGCCCTTCTTGCTGCGAGTTATAAGTCTTCCCATTGAGCCAACTCAATCATCAACATCATCAGCAGTTGTGGCCATGGGCGATGCGCTACCTTTGAGCACCTCGTTGATGTAGGTGCGGTAGTATCGGATCCTCCACGTGTCGTTGAGATCCAGGCTCCCACGCTCGGAGACCCCGTTCTCCGTGATGTACACGGGCGGGTGTCCGTACTCGCTCCCGATGAACGCGAGCAGCCTCCGCAGACCCCACGGCACCACGCGTAACCAGCCCGAGCCGGACACTGGCCACGAGCGGTGTGACTCGACGCCCACCCCTCTGCACTGCACGGACGAGCAAAGCGCAGCGGTTATGTCTTTGGTGCACTTCGAGGTACACGCGGAGTCCACTCTGTGGCATTACCTTGCCTTAAAGGTGATGTCCTGCTGGTCACCTGTGGAAAAGAGCTTCATAGCTCGTCGGATTCCTCCAGTATAAATGGATATTCTCATTCTGATTAAAGTAGGTGGAAGAGTGCGAAACTCAGGAGCTACTACAGTGGTGTAATGGTCAGCACGCTTGAAGTACAATCCAGATATCCCTGGGGCGATGTGATCTCCCGGCATGGCAGTGGAGACAATGGGGCAAGTTTATTCAATCCCCCCCCGCCCCCACCACCGTCGCCTTATCCCTGACGTAGTAGCGCCCCTGCTGCACAGCCTGCTTGCCAGAGGTCGCAACCGGGTACCCGATACCCGTACCCTACCCGATACCCGGCTACCCGTACCCGGCCGGATACGGGTACCCATTTGCGACCCTGGTGTGGCCGGGTACGGGTATGGGTAAGGAATCAAAACCCGTTTGCGACCTCTGCTGCTTGCTCAGGGCTGCAACAACAGTCGCAGCCACCATTCACCGCTCAGCGGCGGCGACGTCACCGCAGCGCTTGTGCCAGGCTAGGTGCACTCCGAAAGCCACGCGAAGTGTGGGTGTTTTGGGTTAACTGCCCGAGGTGACCGACAGATGCGCCACCTGTGCTCCCCACTCTACCAACTTGCTGCCTCATTCTGGAGGGGTGCACGCACGCCGGCACGCACACCTGTCCGCGTCGTACGACTCCTCGGAGTCCGCGTAGGCGCGAGGGAAGGCCAACACCGACGTGTAGTGGTTTAGGCCGAAGAAGTCGTGAGTTCCACGCAGCGAGGCCTTCTGTTCATCCGTGAACTGTGGCAGCCTTTGGGGCGTGGGGACAAAAGGACACGGGTTGGGTGGCCACCTCAACGACACAAACAAAAGAGCAGCATGTATTACGGCGAAGAAGAATATCTGAGAAGGCCGAACACGGAAAGGACTGTAGGACCTGTACCTGTACATTACGCTTCTTTTAATGCCTCGGGAAGACTGAGAGATCCCATGAGAGATACTTCCTCGTAAAATCAGCACAAGGACAGTGGATTTACTGGAGAGTTTTGGGGTCTACGTGGGCTCAAAGCCAACGTCTTGTTTAATGTTCCGCTTGATTTCTTGTAAATTATGTTTTGATAATTTCATTAAGTGGACACTGCATTGATTTGTGGCCCAGGCCTCCTCTGAACAATGGACGTTCGGTCCAAGCAGCCTCTCACCAATTGTGAATAAAAGCTACGTACAAATATCGTACCGAACTTTTCCTAAGCATCGCGTCGATGAAGATGGACAATTATTGAGGCCGTTATTTTTTGACCAAGCTGACGACTGTTAATGTGTTGACAGGTGGTAGATGTTTTGTGTCGTGGTCCCATGAGTAAGATGCCACATGGTGGCATGTATTGCTTTGTAAAGATGTTGTGTTGTGGTGGATGTTCTATAGGAATATGGTATCGAGAAATTGTAATTTGCCACGTAGGGACCCAGCTAGAAAAGCAGTGGCCCCCTTCCTCACTATAACCGGTCCCATCTGTTGCCCCCACACCCTCACACATCGCCGCTACTTTCCGCTCAATCTGCTCCACGGCCATGCTGGTCGGGAAGGTGGTGTATGAGGCTGGGTGTGCAGGACAGACGTATGTAGTCTTCTCATCATCAACTATAATCTATTCACTTCCGCATGAAGACCCCATCGTGCCATCGAAATCCCTCATGGCACTGGGATACCGACTGTCCATCTTGCTCAAGATGGACAGTATGTTGAACTTCTTTCACACCGTACATAGCCAACCGTGCTAATCGGAGGTGCAAGTGACCTCCTTTGGCTGAATTTCCACTACCAGAGTCGTCCATTGGCAATCGTGCCTTCTAGCGACGTGCCCTCCTGCCCACACCCACTTCCTTTCCTTAACAGTCAATGCGATGCCTCTAATTCACTGTTGTTCTCTCAATTCGCATAGTCCAGTCGCACAGTCAACGGACGTTCATAGTTGATGCATCGTGCAATCGTGGGTGTTGATCGGAGACGTGGCACTCGGTGTTGACTGTCGATGTGTAGCGAGCGCCGTGTTGCAATGCGGAGAAGCCGGTGCGAGGATCCCTGACAGGGCTACCTCGACTCAGGGAGGCCCTGTTGCATGCTCCGGTTTGCAACCGCCCACTTCATCACGTCCGGGTAGTCGCCCGTCTTGAAGATCGGGTGCGCGAACCATCCCAGGAAAAACTGTGACAGGGCAACAGCGGGCAGCCGGTTTGTCCCACGCGGTACAATCTCGTGCGGTTTCACTCGACCAGAGGAAACTGTACAAGGGGCAATGAGTATACACCTGCGACAGGGAAGCTCACAGTAGTGCAACTCTTTAAACCACCACTGCAATAGACAGGAAGTATTAAAGGACTCTGTTGACGGTGGTGCAGTAACACGATTGTTTTAAAGCATCGAGATTGCCGGTCGAAGTTTTCTGTCCTGTTAAGCGAGTTACTCTGCCTTATTTTAGCTCTGAAGGAAGCCCGTTGCCCAGATTAAGTCCAAGTCTAAAATGCCCGTGTTGATGTGCAGTTCGTGACAAAAGTAAAACAAACAACATTCGGTTTTCAAATGTATGAAATGTAATGAAAAGAGCGATATTTTTTTTTACTCTGCACAATTTTCATAATTCTATTTTACCGCACGTAAGTGATTCAGAAGGTAAATGTTTTGTCTATTTAAAAAAAACACACCTTGTAACATCAAACGCCTGTTTCATGCGCCTCCAGAACATGTAGAACATTTGGAATCAACATCACACGTTGAGAGTTTTTGGCTGCAATACATTTCCACACGATTAGCTACATCGTTGGGCTACCATTTGTGGTCAAGTCGCTTCTAAAAAAGAGCTACATAGCTCAGTGGGCCTTTCCTGGTAAAATACAAAATATCTTAGTTTAGTTTTAGTTCATATACTTTGACATGTTCCAACCAGCGGCTCACAATGGAGGCTCTCTCCCCCATCTCTATCTCTCGCTCTTCCACTCTGCCTGCCTTATGTCCCCACCAGGACCCACCCACCCCGCGCCGAGCCCCCCGCAGCCTCGATCCTCCCGGGGGGGGGCCACGACTCACCTGCAGGTACGTGTTGGCGGCCTTGACGTCCGCGTGCGAGTTGGGGTTGCGCGGCTCGGCCCAGTCCGAGTTGAGGGTGATGGAGATGAGGCCTCCTTGCTGGGCGCGGAACTCGCGGTCGTACACGTGCCAGGCGGCCGCGTGGGCCAGCAGCAGCGTGTGGCCGGCGCGGTACTGCCCGCGGCCCGAGTCCGCCACGCCTGGCGCGTGTGTGAGTGGCCGCGCGCGAGAGAAGTTGGCATCGACAAGGCTCTGCTAGACGTTGCGTATCGCGGTTGCGCACGTACATGTGTAATGCATTGTGGGGGTTCGGTTGTTTTGCAAACTGCCACTGTATCCTCTCCGGTCGTCAAGAAACTTCAGCTGCAATAAGTGTATATATAGAAAGAGAGAGGCTGAGATGAGATATGAAATCACGAAGACCAATTGCACACCCACAGCGGCAGAATGTATGTATCAAGTACTCTTTACTTGATACAGCAAGCGTGCTGTGACGGTTCCACCTGAAGACGGAAGCTTGTGTTGCCTCTGAAACGTCGTGATTTTTTATTGTACTTTAATTAATTTTGTTTGTACCTACGTGACTTTACCGAAAAAACCTAAGAGTATGAATCCTTGCAGTCACGAAAGCTTCAAATCTAGAAAGAATGTATGTATGTTGAACTTCTTTCACACTGTATGTAGCCAACCATGCTAATCAGCTTCCCAGCAATGGCTGTAATTCGCAGGCTGGATCAAGGTTTGCCTGAGACCCTGTTGGACTTTCATCTTATCTTTACTAGATAGCAAAGGCAAAAAGCAAGCCATTACCCATTACCTGAGTCCATGAAGCAACAGGGTTCACAAATGGGTCAATTGTAACATTCCCAAAGGCTTGTCGGAGAGAGCTTGCAATGTGTAGATGGAATGAGGTCCAAAGTGGCCATCACCTTGATCCACACGAAAAGCCGCGACCAGGGGATGCCACCACAGTGCTTGCGGCAAGGCAAGGCACATTTTGAGGCCACGTGAAGTTTCAAATGCTCGCTGGCAAGACGCCACTGGGCAGACCCAGGTGTTTATGGGTTGACTGAGATGCATGGCAGATTCACCACCCAACCTTCTGTGGAATACAACTATGCTCACCTCCGATTAGCACGGTTGGCTGCGTACAGTGAGAAAGAAGTCCAACAGCGTAGATACAAACGCACGCACTCACCGGGAGGGTGGGACCCATACCCGTGACCAAGCAGGGCCACGATCCACGGCTCGTTGAAGGTGAGCCAGAATTGCACGCGCGAGCCGAACAGCTGGAAGCACTTCCGCGCGTAGTTGGCAAAGAGTTCGACCAAGCGCTCATCGCGCCAGCCGCCCATTGCCTGTAGCGCTGACGGCAGGTCCCAGTGGTACAGCGTCACCTGCAGGGGTGGCAGGGCCAAAAGGAGATGGCTCACACGAGCCTGGCGGGAAGTCTGAAGCCTCAAGCAACTTGCACTTTAATAAATACCTCAATTACTTTAGGTGGCCTCTCGAAAACTCTCTCTCGTGGAGGCCCTCCCATCAGCAGTGGTGTGAACAAGCAAGCGTCCTACTCGAATTGTAAACGGTGTGGGTTTACTCTCCAATGCACTGTGCTGAACTAGTAACCAATTGGCATGTTTTGTTTACGTGACAAGCCTTACTAATTAGCTGTGTCAGGTGGTGGTGAAAGCGGACGTGTTAAAGCAATTGAGGATTTGCACCTTTATTTTTTTTACTCTAATTATAGTAGTAAAAGACGTGCGAACAACACTCCAAGTAAAGCCAAGTTGTCTCCACGCTTACCAGAGCAATGGCAATTGTTTATCTCTGTTGGTGTTTCTAAGCATTTGTTTAGTCGGGACTGGTCTATGAGTAGCATGAACCACTGTTGATGAGCCACGCAAATTTTCCCATTTTATTGACCCCAGAAGAATAATGGTTCAAGGCATCCGCTGTCTGGGATTAAGCTCACAGCCTTCCCATTGTGAAAGACGTTCTTCAACCACAGCACCATCCTGGCGAAGCCATTTTGGGCCTGCAGTCAGATAATCAAATTAAACCTCTTACATTAGTCGCGTGAAACTGAAATAAAAACCCAATGCAGGGCTTGTCACCCTGTTTAACAAGGGCCCTGACTCTAAACTGGCATCACGGTGTTTTACATTCTTTCTCTTCGGCCTGTGCTGACACATTCGACAGACAACGAGCGAACGAGTGCTTCGCAGCAGTTCGTTTGCGTTGCGCGTGGCAAAACTGGCAGCACGCTCACCTGCGGCTTTATGCCCGCCCTGAGCAGGCCATCGATGAGGTCGCTGTAATACTGCACGGCGGCGGGGTTGACATAAGAGTCGGTGCCGTCGGGCAGCAGGCGTGGCCACGACAGCGAGAAGCGGTAGTGCGAGACGCCCAGGGCTCGCAGCGCCTCCACGTCCTGCGGCCACAGGCGGTAGCTGTCGCACGCCTCGTCGCCGGTGTCCCCGCCCGCCACCCGTCCGGGCGAGTGCGCAAACTCGTCCCAAATGCTCAGGCCCTTGCCGTCCGATTGCCAGGCCCCTTCGATCTGCCACAGGGACCGGGGGGGGGGGGGGAAAGCCCGGGCGAGCGGTCGGAGGAGAGGGACGCGGAGGCCATTGCCGCGAGCTGGCCCCGCAAGTGCACGAGTCCGGGAAAAAAAAAGAAAAAGGGAAAAAAAACCCGAGCGAGATCGAGAGCAGAGTGCCGCACCTGGTACGAGGAAGTGGCGGAGCTCCACGCAAATCCCTGGGGGAAGTGGCCGTAGAACGGCCGGTCTCGCTCCGGCATGGGGAAGCCGTTTGCGTGCAAGATGGCCGCGTACACGTGTGCCGAGCGCTTCGGGGTGCGCGGCCGAGACGGGTGCGAGAAGTCCACGTGGTGCATGCCAAACCGCATGCTGTAGCCGCTGGCCCACTCGAAGTTGTCCATGAGCGACCACGCGGTGTAGCCCCGCAGGTCCACGCCGTCCACCGTCGAAGCTGTGGTGTGGGCGGGTGCAGAGAGGTGCGCATTCGCGTGCGTGTAAGCGCAGACGTAGCGGGTGTTACTGACTTTAGAAAAAGTGGACTTTTAAAGCACGTGTCATCGGTACTTAAAAAATTAATTGCGGGCATTTCAGATGCACTGAAATGTTCTCGGTGGTACAACCACACAATTCGAGGGAGCTAATGAAAAGTATAGACAGATTGTGAATTCAAGTGACTGTTCGCAATTGAGATCTGAGAGTAGTAAGCAGTTGAAATTGACCTCGCACATGTTTTTGGGTTGTACTGCGTATTGTCCAGCATGATGTCTGACATTATGCTCCACGTGCTTAGTGCTTTTTCAGAAACAAAAATTTCAGAGCCTGAGCAAACCCAAAACAACGAGAGCTACAGCGCAACCACGAAAACCTACAAGTACAGGAGATTAAATTATACTGAAAAAATATTTATAATAGGAAAACAGAAGCAGGTAAGAGGTTCCAGTGTTCAGTGGCATGGAAAGTGAAGGGTGGGTGGAGCGGTTTGTGCACCGCTGCTGGCACCGGTGCGGCCTCACCCTTGAGCGCCTCGTTGATGTACGTCTCGTAAAACTGGATGCGGTCGGGGTCATCCTTGCCGGACAGGTACTCAGAGGCCACGCCGTTCTCGGTGATGTAGACGGGCAGGGGGCCGTACTCGGCGGCCACCCAACCCAGCAGGCGCCGCATGCCCCACGCCACCGGGCGCAGCCACTCGGCGGCCGAGCTGGGCCACGACGGGTCGGTCTCCTCGTGCGAGTCGCGGTCGTGCTCGTAGCTCGGCGGGTCAAAGGGGCGCATGGCGTGGCTCACGAGGCGCGTGGTGTAGCCGTTGATGCAGAAGACGTCGGCCGAGCCCTGGATGAGCCGCCGCTCGTCGTCGGTGAAGGAGGGCAGCCGCGACTCATTGAGGCCCAGCAGGGCGCTCTTGTTGCCCACCTGCCACCTGCGTGGTGCGTGCGTTGGTTGGGAAACACAACTAAATTAACAGCGCCTGTAGATAAGTATCTTGTGAATTATAAAAGCAAATAAATATTTTAAAATGAAAAAAAATATTGAAAGACCAGAGCTTAATTTCAGGGCTTTGGTTGCTCAATGGCCCTCGAAAAATATCCCATGGCAAATTATGGCCCTCGTAAAAGATCACGAGACAGAGAAACGCGTGGCGAGCGAGACGTGACGCGAATCTCACTTGAGGGAGTCTGGGTAGTCTCCGTTCTTGAAGATGGGGTGCGCGAACCACCCCACGATGGACTGCAGGAATCTGTCGGCGGCCGCGACGTCTCGAAGGTCCGCGGGATTCTTGGGCTCTGCCCACTCGGTGCTCAGCGTGATGGACACCACCCCCCGCTGCTCGCGCCGGTAGCGCGACTCGTAGTTGCGGTAGGCGCGGGCGTGCGCCTTGATGATGGTGTGCGCCACGCGGTAGGGCGCGTAGCCGGGGTCCCAGATGCCGGGCGCGAACGAGCCGACCCCGTAGCCCAGCCAGGAGACCACGTACGGCTCGTTGAAGGTGATCCAGAACTTTACGCGGTCCCCCCACTGCGCGAAGCAGAAGTCCGCGTAGTCGTGGAACAGCTCGACCAGGGACTCGTTCTGCCAGCCGCCGATGTCCTGCAGCGCTTGCGGCAGGTCCCAGTGGTAGAGGGTGACCACGGGCGAGATGCCGGCGTCCAGCAGGGCGTCGATGAGCTCGCCGTAGTAGCGAACGCCGGCCGAGTTGAGGCTGCCGAGCCGGCCCGTGGGGAAGACGCGGGGCCACGACACGGAGAAGCGGTAGTGCGTCACGCGCAGCGCCCGCAGCATGTACACGTCGGCGGCGATCTTGTGGTAGCTGTCGCATGCCACGTCGCCCGTGTCGCCGTTGTCAATGTTGCCCGGCCGGTGCGCGAAGTCGTCCCAGATGCTGGGGCCCTTGCCGTCCGCGTCCCAGGCGCCCTCCACCTGCGCGCGTGTCCGTGCGCAAAATCAAGTGTGGTGTTTGTTTGTTTTTCGACCGTGAATGTACTTTGGATAGACCCTCCTGAAAAAAAGAGGCCTACAACTCAGTGTGGCTCTCCCTGATAAATTAGTTAAAACCAAAATATATTATCATTATACATACCGGTGGAGAAGAGCAACTATGGTTTTATCTCGTTAGAGCAGACACGTTTTTAGTTTTGCCTTGACTCTGGTAGCAATTGTCCCACCCAACATCATTATCTGACTACATAGGTTTACGCAGTTGTGCTGTCTGGCTTTCTGATGTGTATTCAATTTGCAAATTTAACAGGTAGGATGTCGCGACCAATATTATTCATAATAAAGATTTTTTGGTTAGATCACGTAAATATAAAATGTGTCGTCAACCCACCTTCACCCGACACAGCCAATTTGTAAGGTTTGTCACGTGAACAAAACGTATCAATTTGCCATTACTTCATCACGTGGATCTGATGGAAAATAAACCCACAACATTTATAATCGAGTATGACGTGATTACAACCAGCTTCATCGGGCGATTTTCCATAATTCTAGATTTGAAGCTTTCGTGACTGCAAGGATTCATACGCTTTGGTTTTTTTGGTAAAGTGACGTAGGTACTAAGTTAAATAAATGAAGAAAATGAGTTGTTTTCATTTCATTTATTTTATTTTTTACCTACGTGATGTGCCATAACTCTGAATTCATAATTTTATATTTACGCAACCTAACCCATGATGAACTTGTAAAGTTATCCAGTGCGTTGCTCGGCGTTGATGTCAGATGATGTTGGTCTCTAGTTTTTAGTTTTTCTGGAGCTTCCTCGTGCCAAACAGCACGGCGGTACAACCGAAGCACACCCCCCCCCCCCCCTCTGTCGCACCTGGTAGGATGACGTGGCTGCACTCCAGGTAAATTCGGACGGGAACACTCCGTACACGAACTCGTCTCTCTCAGCCACGGTCTGGCCAGAGAAGCGGCTCCATATGTCCTCGCTGGCCTTGGAGGGGACGCGCGAGGCGGGCATGGGAGGGCGGCTCCTGTCCAGGCCACTTGGAGCTGAGAGTGAACCCTGTTCAGCCGCACCGGCAGCACCAGCGGTGACACTAGTCACTGGCGGAGAATCCGACGAGACATTTCCCCCAGACACTCACAGCCCTAGCCCTTCATGATAGAGACGTCCCCTAGATAATTAGTCCCTCTTATGCACGGAGACGTCCCCATACGGAGTGTCCTACCAATTCACTGAGACATGCTCAGATGATGATAGTCTGCCCTATTTGTAAGGAGTAATTCAAAATTGAAGTCTCTGCTACTCACAAAGAAAGATCGCGTAGATAATTATGATCCTCTTGATTCATGGAGACATCTTCAGGTATAAGCCCGCAACACCCATGCCACTCCTAATTAATGGAGACATTCCTTATTAATTAAATAGGAGACATCTCAGATACACCATTGGAACCTCATTTGCCAGAAGAAAAAATATGATAATTGGTTTTTTACCCTTTTATCTGGCAACAAAACCGACACCTTTTTGGCGTGCGCCTTTTGGCGTCATCTGGTCCAACACCATGTGAGACTAGGCTCTTAGGAAAGATGTCTCGGGTGTGGACCAATCAACTTCAAGGACAGTGCATACATTATCAGAGTTATGTTTTTTGTTTGCATTATGACTGCAAGTATTGTGGTCTATGCAAACATGACTCCTTGTAAAAAAAAAAGTGTCAGTTTTGTTGCCAGATAAAAGGGTAAAAAACCAATTATCACATCTCAGACACACTCAAATTCCTCCTTGTTCAGGTGAGAGTCGTCCCCCAGACAATTTTGGTTCCTCCACTTTCATGACGAGACAACCCTGGAGACAGTTACCTGTGCACTAAGACACTCACAATCCCACCTGTACACAAGGAGAGGAGACGTGCACTTCCACGCACCCACCCTGTGAAGAATGTGCCATGTTAACCAACAAGCCGCACTGCTGATGAGACTCGGAAAGTCAAAACCGATTCAGAATTTTCTGCGTCAATAAAAGTTCGTGGGAAACATCAGTCCCAAAGGCCCATAGGCTCGTAAAACACAACGTAATTTTATGTTTTACATGGTAAAACAGAGCCTTAGGTATTCAATATTTTAAACGTTTTTTTAAACATTATTTCAAGGTCAAAATGTAGATAGATACTATTTGATTAGATTAGATATCATGGTCATGTATATTTAGAGTGAACATAGCAATGAAATATACTTTTACAAGATAAGTGTGTGTCTAGTTCTCCTGGAACTGGCGTAAAACCATCGTGCACACACCTAGAACAAGGCCCCTTCTATTTCCTTGGCGAGCTCACTTTGTGCACAACTTGGTTCTGATAATGCAGACGATTGTCTTAAATGGGTAGCATTTACTTCAAAGAACAACCCTAAAAATAATGTTCGTGACCAAACAACGAATGTCTATCTGTACGTATTAAGTGATTGGTTTTGGCCAATCCATTACTGGGTGAAGGCCTCTCCCAAAGCCACCTGGCATCGGCCTTGGTCCCGCCACTCGGATGAGCAAGGACAGCTACGTACGGTGCCTAAATAAGTTCAACATGCAACGTAATCATCCACCCGGCACCAGCACACAATTACAATTAGCAAAGCACACAACGGTGGCTAGCATGCCAGTCGTGTAACCACAATATTGCATGCACAATTCTCTCAGCCTTGTATAAACCACCATCTCGGAAGAGCTGAACATGCAGCCACATTACTATTATTTAGGCCACGAGTTTAAAAAGAGTTGAAAAATGTGGCCGTTCCAACGGGCAGCAGTGAAACAGACACAACTGTAGTCCACTTTCACCCTCATTAGAACTCATCAATACAGTACAGTCATTAATGTCCATTGCTGCCCTATGGCTCTATGGAGTCCATGCATGGGGAGGGCTTTACCGTTATACAATGTACTGCATGCATGTGGAACTTCTTTCGCACCGTACATCGCCAACCTTGTTAATCGGAAGTACACTAAGGGGACATTCATTAGCAATTGCTAAAGCAACAATTATTCAAACCAAGAAATTGAATAAATGACCAGAAAACAATCAACACAATATCACACAAAAAAAACACCGAAAAAAATTTGATTAAAAGTTTAGCTGGTAAAATGTATTTAATCATTCGTAAAGTTCAAGCAGTTTGTTGATTTCAAGATAATTCATTTCTTTACAGCAACAATGACAATAACAACATTTAATTGCCTTACATTTCATTGATTTAAAGTTCATTACAATCATTGTAGAACCATCATATCCTCGATTCATTGTCAACAAAAACATTTGATTCGTTTATGTTTTTTTTATTCAGTCTATTGATCATTGTAGCCTTACATCCCACAGGGGATGAAGAGGAGAAAGTTTTAAGAATTAATTGATTTCAAGCAGAAGTAACACGCACTAACTTTAAAAAGCGACTTGATTATTTTTCCAACAGCATATTGTTTTACACAACAATGTCCTTACATCTTGACTTAAAGCTTTCGTGACTGCAGGAATTCATATTCTTTGGGTCTTTCGGTAAAGTCACGTCTTCAGGAAAGACGACCGCTTGTGTTGCGATCGAAACGTCGTAGTTTTTTGTTATTTTATTTGAACCTATCTACGCGACTTTACCGAAAGACCCAAAGAATGTAATGGCCTTACAATAACAACACACAATTTCTCCGCGACAATTACATCCGACTGGCAAAAATATACAACGGATTGCTCCTCAACTCCAACGTGTGAACAAGAGGCCCCATTGGCAAACATAAACTCGCATATAGCTTGACTCCGCGCGGCCAGGGGTGGTCAGTAGTTTGACTAAAATGTAGAACATGAATCTAAATCAACTCTTGAACTGAATCACAACTCATCAAATCACTCTGTCGGTAAATCATTCCACCCCGAACAGGAACAATAAAATATAATTTCACAGCGGTGGACGTCCCGGTGGCTGGGTCTCTGTGGCCAGGGGAGGTCCCAGCGTGTCGCCCCCACTCACCGTGCCCGTGCGCCCCCTGGTCCTCTCGCCCTCTGCAGGAAAGCCGTTGTCGCGGATGACGGCTGCGTAGAAGAGCGCCGACTCCTTGGGTGTTCTGGGCCGATCCAGGTCCTCAAAGTCCACGTGGTGAAGCCCGAAGCGATGGCTGTAGCCCTCCCGCCACTCGAAGTTGTCCATGAGCGACCAGGCGGTGTAGCCACCCAGAGCCACGCCATCCAACTTCACGGCTGCACGTGCCAGGGGTCGCACGTGGAATAAGAATGTCACGTCAATGCATGCACGATTTGTCAATCTGATCTAACCACAATGGTAGTGGAGACGCCAATGATGCCTTCGGCTGTCAAATCTCGCCATTCTTACCTGCCCTTCGCAGTCTTTGTCAAGTGTTGCACTGGATTGTCAGTCTGTATAAGATTAGATCTCATGTATCCAGTGTCGTTGAGTCAAAATCAAAAGTCTTTTCCTACTCGAAAGAGCATTGGTCAGTGATTATTTCCGTAGGAGACCCTGAACTAGCAGTGGAGATTCCACTATTCCACGGAAACGTCAAATCATGATTCATACTTGGCAAGGAATCTTGCGTTTACATGTCATATTAATCCAATGTGCTGGCTATGGTAGCACACACCTTTAACTTCGTGCTTTGAAACCAAACGTCGTTGTGTGGCAGATATTTGTGAAACTGCAACAGCTGAGCCTAGAGATGGCCAGTAGATGGCAGTATGGCAAATGCGTGCATGATTCAGTGATTGCGGATCATTGTTTTCTGACTTTTCAATCATGTCAGGGGTTTCTCTGGTGTTATCGTTTCTGCTCACTTGAGCTGAACAAAAGTCTGAACATTCAGTCAGGCTTTGCACGAAAAATGGCAATTAAATAACAGACCTGAGCGGAAATACCTGAGTTATCACAGTTCTACCAGTGCATTGAGTAATGGAGGTCTGCACACAATGGCGCAGTTGCATTGCGTCCTGATAAGGGCTCATTAGTGTGCACCTTTGAGCGCCTCGTTGATGTACGTGCGGTAGTAGTCGACGCGGTCCGTGTCGTTGACCATGTCGGCCGCGTAGTCGGTGGCCCAGCCGTTCTCGGTGACGATTATGGGCACGGTGGGCCCCACGCGAGCCGAGATGTAGGCGAGGAGACGGCGAAAACCCCAGGGCACGGCGTAAAGCCAAGGGGCGGCGGACTGTGGCCACGCCGGGTCGGTCAGAAGCTCGTAGTCGCCGTCGTTTTCGTAGTTCTCCTCGCAAGGCTTGACCACGTGCTTCACCTGGAATGTGGGATTTGGTCAACTCCTTTTAATACAAAGTCAATTACCGGGTTTGCCGATCACCCGAAGATTATCACGTGGCTTGCAAGCATGTGAAATTGCCAATAGGTGACTTCATTACAATGGGTTGAAATCCTAGTTGAACAAGTTTTAATTGTTTTTATCTGCTTAAATACTTAATGCTTCTTTCGGACGCACTCTTTTGTTGTCACATTCAATGATCGGCGAATCATTTGTTCAATAACGGTTGTTTAAAATTCTAAACGAACATGAAAACAAAAGTAGCGCCTGCCGGCTCAAATGATCAAGGAGTGATGTTGCTCGTCTCCATTGGTCGCGACTGTTTACTTCCCACAAAGCATTACTGATTGTATCAGCCACGAAGGAAATATGAACTGAGTTGACCCCTGACTGCGATTTGAACTCACAGTCTTCCCAGTGTGAGTGGAGACTTGTAACACGACTGGACTCGGGCCAGGTAAAAAACAAATTGGTGAAGAGGAGGAGGGGGGGGAAACGGCAGCGAGTCTCATTCGCAGGGGCACGTGGGCTGACGTGCTCACCAATCTGGTGGTGTAGTGATTGAGGCCGAAGAAGTCAGATGTCCCCTTGATGTACGCCTTCTCCTCGGCTGTGAAGGCCGGCAGGCGACTGGGGCCCTCGCGGCCGCATTCGATATCCTTCTGCTCCACCGCCTTCTTCATCACCTCGGGGTAGTCACCGCTGCCAAAGATGGGCTCCGCAAACCTGCAGTGGGCAAACATGAACCCGCGCCATCGCGTGCGGCCACAACTGGACTCGCCCTCCTGAGCTCACTTTCGCCACAATACCAAGGGCCAGTGGCCTTTAAGCTGCCTTGATGAGACTGGCCAAATTGTACTGGTGTCACAGCAGGACCCATTAAAAACTCGCACTGTGCAAGCTTTGTAACATGTACGACCTTGGACATGGTACAGCTCCGATACATGTGTCTCCAATTCTCATCCAGAGGCATGAACTGTTGAGGGAAATACTGTTAGCGAGCAGATTTGTTTAAGGCGGGACACGAGAGGCTAGTAAGGCTGACATTAACTATATAACATCAGATCAAATGTTTTATGCCATTGGTTGAGGGTATGCATTGTAGGCCCAGTTGGCCTAGCGACAGCCAGGGATATTTTTAGGCAAACTTAACCAGAGGGCAGCCATGGTCATTCACACTGGTGATGTGCATGACCAGGGCATGCGTGATTGGGCAGTGACTGCCACAAACGCACATTCTGATCCAGAAGCAAGCACCACCACTACCAATATCACATTGCCACCACTCGCACAACCACCAGCAACACCAGCAATATCGCCACCACCATCACCAGTACCAAAAGCACCACTATCTCCCCCAGTATCACCACGACTACTGCTGGCAACATCATCAGTATCTCTACTATCAACACAACCACCCGGCACCATGACCCAACCAGCACCACCACTAAGCATCACCGTCACCAGGACCACACACACCTCGACAAACTCTCGACTCCCCTCACCAGCCGAGCAGAAATTCGAGGTAGCGTTCAGCAGCCTCCACATCGGCGGGCAGCGCGGGGTCACGGGGCTCGGCCCAGTCCGAGTTGAGGGTGATGCCCACTTGACCGCCCTGTGCCGCTCGGAAGTTCTTGTCGTAGTCGTGCCACGCGCGCGCGTGCGCTTTGATCATGGTGTGCGCCACGGCGTAGGGCGCCCGGCCCGGCTGCGCAGAGAGCCCGGGAGCATGGTACCTTGCGTGAACGACAACAATGAGAGACTGATTATTATTAGATAACAACAGCGACTGATTATTATTAGATAACAACAGCAACGACGTGATTACTCATACACCCCCCGCAACTTCTCTGGGAGTCAAACTCAGGTGGCCAGGTTTCGTAGCGCGGTGTGATAACCAATGTCACCCACACGCGTTCACACAGAGACGTAGGTTCCCCGCGTAGCCTTTAACAGTGTTGGTGCCAAGTGATGTCAGCGAGTACCTAATAGATACCAACAGGGCACGCGAGCGGGTGAGCGGGCATCACCAGGATTGTCTCGTGCGCTTCGGTTTGCGTTGAGAGCAATGCGTCCCGCACCTCCGATTAGCACGGTTGGCTGCGTACGTTGCAAACGAAGTTGAACACACACACACAATGTCTTCTTGGTTCTTTCGGTAAAGTCACGTAGAATGGAAATAATAAAATAATTCAAATAAAACATGAAATAATTCTCACGACGTTTCTGCCACAACACAAGTAGCCGTCCTCAGGTCTGTCCTCGACAGACCTGTTCTCCACCTGAGGACGGCTACTTGTGCTGTGGCCGAAACGTCGTGAGAATTATTTTATTATGTTTTATTTTTATTATTTTATTATTTCCATTCTACGTGACTTTACCGAAAGAACCAAGAAGATGAATCCCTGCAGTCACGAAAGCTTTAAATCGAAACACATACAATGTGTCTATCGGTCGCGCTTTCGGGCTTTCTTTATACATGGGGTGGTTTGTAAGCGGGAGGGAAGCAGAGAAACCGAGAAAACCCCGCGCTAAAATGAAAGGTGACGTTCAGCATCGCCTTCCCATGGCCACCTTCTCTGCCCCACGCCAACAACAGATGGATCGGGCCACTTGTGGTCGATTTAGCAACAACAAAAGCGAATGAAATTGGCACCTGTGATTGCTCATGGGCGCTTGGTACTGATTATTGTTTGAAGAGGCGGTCAAATAACCTAATGAGATGATGCGTCAATACAGGCAGTAATTACTTAAGCTTCCAGGGGTTCCCATATACTCGTGTGCTGATTGCGTCCAGCTGACATGTACAGTACTTAATCACAAACATCAATGACGATAACAATTCATGTCGAACTTACGTGGCAGGTAAAGCCACGCTGAGTCTCATGACTCCCTCGGAGGGGTTACTGACTCTAGATGTTTAGCCAATTCCCTTTCAATGCCGTATGTTTATTCAGCAGGGCCCGTTACAGTTACAACTTATATGTCGGTGACTCTGCTGCTGCTACGTTGGCAAGGATGCAAACTAAAATGTTATTTTTTTAAAACAAACTCAACACGTCCGTCAGTAACACGTGCAGGCAACGTTTCAAGCAATTCCCCTTTTTCATAGCACACATTATAGCAACAGGTTGGAGTAGCGGGGCAGTGGATTTGCTCGCTGGCTGAGTTCAATCCCCGATCACGGCTAACATCATTGGCGGGTGATATCTGAAGCAGTCCTACCCTATCCCTCGCTAACCCACAACAACCAGCGTGGCGAGGTATGGTCAAGTAACCACCACGGCCGACACGCTAGCAGAGGATTGCCAAAGAGCTGTGAAAGTAAATTTTGACTTAAAACTTTCGTGACCGCAGGAATTCATCATCTTCGGTTCTTTCGGTAAAGTCACGTAGATTAAAAAAAAATAAGCATTTATTTTCTTGACCTTTATTTTTATTATTATTTTTCTTCGATCTACGTGACTTTACCGCAAGAACCAAAGAGCTGTGAAAGTTACTTTATTATAGTTTGCAGTGCTTTAAAATGCAGTGCCCCTGACGTGCTCTTACGCGGCGCTGCTGTCACGTCGTGATGCACACACCCGCTTTCTTCCTGGACATTCCCTCCCTCTAGTGGCTCTCTAGTTGTTACTGTACGCATTCAAAACAACTCAAATCAACCGAGCACGTTGATTTTTGTTGGCAGCCGAACTTTCGCGCTGGCGGTGTTGATCGAAGTAGAAGAAATAAAAAAAAGACTCGATCAGACATGTCTCTGTGTAACGCAAACTAAACACGGCTCAACACTGTAACATCCTTACTCTTTGGTTCTTCGGGTAAATCACGTAGGTATGAAATAAAATAAATCACGACGTTTCGGGCGCAACACAAGCGTCCGTCATCAGGTGGGAAAGCATGGTCTGCTGCTGAGGCAGACTTTTTAAAAGGTTTGAAATGGTTGTAGCCCAAGGGTCATAAAGAAGTGGCCGGGGCTAGTGATGTTAATGTGAGAAATCAGCATGTAACTGTAAGATATGAGAGTGGCCTCCTGGACGAGGGCACGGAAGTGGCTATGTTAATGTGAGAGATTAGCATGTTAATGTAAAATCGAAGAGTGGTGCAATCCATAGGCATGATAGTGCAACCCAAAGGGCATGTGAGCATGAGAGATCTAAGAGATAGGCATAGAGAGAGACGCAGTCGGAAATAACAGCTGACATAGGCAGGTAGGATGGAAACATTACAGTCAGTTAAGACTTTACTTGGTTAATAACGTCAGTTTGTACCCATCCTCTCGGTTGAAGTTGTGTCTGTGTTTATATATCTGGATGGCTTCATGAACACATTTCTGAAGGTAGCCAGCAGGTTTGCAGAGTACCTCCATCTTGTAAAAAATCAATTTCGTGTGAGGCCACAGCTTTAAAACAATGATCAGCAACGGCAGAGGTATTGGTCCTACCGTTTGTGTTGCGACCGAAACGTCGTGATTTATTTTATTTTCCACCTACGTGACTTTACCGAAAGAACCAAAAGAGTATGGATTCCTGCAGTCACGAAAGCTTCAAATCAAGATTGTAACATCCATGACCCATTCAGCATTTTATACACGCAATGTGCTTGCCCAACCCGCGTTATCTACTCGCCGTACTGCAGCGGTTGACATTTTGACCAGTTCTGTTCAGTTCAATTCAGCTCGTTCCATCTGCGTTCGTGTTCATTACACAAACATCATGCTTCGATGGGGGCGGGGGGGGTGTAACGATTCAACTCGGGGGGCGATTCGATGCTATTGTCGAACCAGCCGGGGGGAGGAGGAGGGGTCACTCTCGATTCGATTATAAATAACACTGGTCAACAACAAAAAAACATTTTTTTCTGGCCTGGACTTTTGCAGCTGTTTTAGACTAATTTCAGGGTGCGGATTCCAAATCTGATCTCAGATTTTCTCTATCACATCTCATTTTTATGCTATCGGCATACTCCATTTTAATTTATTTTACCCGAAATTAACTCTGTCACTTATGATTGCAAGTTGTTGCGAGTCAGTGACTGCTTTAGTGTTCAAATATGGTGCTGTATTTTTAGGATAGTGTGTTTATAATATCATTTTATGTAGATATCCACAATTACTTAATATTTTTCTTCTGCAGTTTTTATTGAAAAAGCAATATTTGATATCTCAAAAACCTGATGTGATAGACAAAAACTGATGCCATATTTGGAATCAGCACCCCAAAATTACATTATAACCGTTGGAATACCTTATGCCAGAAAAAGTGTGTTGACCAGTGTAATCTATTCAGTGGTGATGGTCGTTGCACGTACGTATGCTGAACTTACATTACTTCGGCCACAAGTGGCTACAAGAGTCGAACGAGCCCGTGACACACACAGCCCATACGGACGAGAACGCATGAAGTCTATAACACACGCGGAGAATTGGCCTCCGAAGCCTCATCTAGATTCATGGACGCGCATCAAGCAGCATTAACCCAACCACTTCATCGGGATGCAAGACCACCACAGTACAGGTATACTGTATTCGTTTTTTTTGTTGTACCAGGTAAGGCTCACTGAGCTATGTAGATATTTTTTTGCAAAAGCGACCTGGCCATAAATGAATGCTCAACGAAGTGGCTTATCATCACCACGCGGACATTTATATCATCAGCAGCCAAATTCTCTATAAAACACATGATGTAATTCTAAATGTGGACGAGGGGGGGGGGGGAGGGGTAAAACCCCCCCAGAGGACCCGGGCAAAAAAAATCACGCGACCCACGGGGGAAACTCCAAACATCAATGAAGGTGACCCCCGATTCGCCTTAGCGATGACCCCCTTATCCAAACAAACGCAACGCGTCAAAACAACGTGAACCCTTCCATCAAACGACACACGACCGGACGAGCCTGCCACGAGACCACAGCAATCGCTGACCCATTGCCGTGACCGAGCCACGCCACCACCCAGGGCTCGTTGAACGTGATCCAGCGCTTGACGCGGCTGCCGAACTCCCTGAAGCAGAAGGACGCGTAGCCCGCGAACTCCTCCACCATGAGGCTCTCGTTCCTCCACCCGCCGAGCTCCTCCAGGGCCTGGGGCAGGTCCCAGTGGAAGAGCGTGACCACGGGCTCCACGCCGGAATCCAGCAGCGCGTCGATGAGCTCGTTGTAGTAGCGAACCCCAGCGCTGCTCGCCTCGTCCCACCTGGCGCTGCCCCCGCGGGGGAAGAGGCGCGACCATGAGATGGAGAAGCGGTAGGCGCTCAGCCCGAGCCCCCTCGCCAGGTACGCGTCGTAGGGCGCCTTGTGGTAGCTGTCGCACGCCACGTCGCCGCTCTCGTTGTTGTGGACGAAGCCGTCGTGGCTGAAGCGGTCCCAGATGCTCTCGCCTTTGCCGTCCGCGTCCCAGGCGCCCTCCACCTGGTAGGAGGCGGTGGCCGCGCTCCACGCGAAGCCCGCGGGGAAGGTTCCCGTGATGGGCGCGTCTCTCTGCACAGGCAGCTCGGCGTGGAAGCGGCGCCACAGGGGCTCGTAGAGTCCCGCCCGAGGGGACCCCTCTCGAGGGTCTTTGGACTCGAGCGGATCCGTCCCCGTTGGGGTCGGGAGCGACCCCCGAAAGGCAACTTCGACGACGATGATGATGACTGAGGCCGTGGAGAGAGCGCTCATTACGCACGCGAGCAGCAGAACGCGGGCGCTGGCTCGGCTGGCCATGGCCAAGTTCAAGTGGAAAACGGCGACCGAGCCGCCCCTGCTTCGTCGAGACAGCCCAAGGGAATCGCGCGACTTGAAGGAGGCACCTGGGCTCGGGAGGCAAAGCCGGGGCGCTCGCGGGCGCAGGGAGTAAGGGGGTTGCAGCACCGCGCGTGCGTGCGCGCGTTCGAGCAGAGACCGCGCGTAGAGTGGCGTGGCGCTTGCCGGACGAACGCCCAACTAGGGGTATTTTAGTGTCATGCAACCCTTGGCTTTTTCGAGCTCCCAAGACGATAGCGACAATGTTGTCTGAATGCGTTCAAACCAAATCCCAAGGTCAGCTCTTGTGATAATTTTCTGCAATAAAACTACGCCTATGGTTTATTACTGCGGATTATGCAACCCAATCGCCTAGACGAGTCAAACCAACGAATGCACCGTCATGCTTGTATCGTGCCGGCAAAATTATATTTAGCCCCGAGTACAATGTGTGCATATGAATATTCAGCGCTTTGCTCAAATATATTTTGTTAACGAACACACACGTAGGTGCATTGCGTGTGAGAAAGTCTCTCAGTCTTCAGGGTTATGCAAAACCACGAGTTTAGAAGAACTGCGTTTGTGGTGAATTTGCCTTAGACCACAATCAAATCATTGATAAAAAAACACATGGGACAATCTACAGGCAGCAATATGTGATTGTTATAATTGTACTGCTGGGCCCTAGGTGGTGTGTATGCAATGATGTTTGGATACCGATGGTAATTGGATTCTGCTATAGATTATCATAAATAATAATGACGATGTTACTGTTGACATTATAATGAAAATAAACGTAATGCAGGCGAAAGTAGTGATCCCAGGAACGCCTATTCGTCTTTAAAAGTACCCGGGAGGATTTGCCATGTTGAAGGAAACTCTGATGCACAGTACCCAAGAAGAAGCAGAAGGAAACATGCTTAGAGGGGATGACATTCAAATGTCCACACAGATGGGTTCAGTAACCCACTGTTGTAGTCTTCCCCTGGTCATCTCGTAGGCTCAGCCCGCGTGCCTTTAACTGTTGACAGATCGCAGGCATCATGAGCACAGACACCCACGCATTCACAGACACCCACGCATGCACATTTACACATGCATGCGCATTTACACATACATGCACATTTACACATGCATGCACATTTGCACACGCATGCACATTTACACATGCATGCGCATTTACACATGCATGCACATTTACACATGCATTCACATCTACACACGCATGCACACATACGGTTCCCCATGTAGTCTTATAGGGTCAACTCACACTGGCCAGAATGGTGAAGTACGGTCAAACAACACCCCACGACCGACACGACATGAGGAGGGGTTGTAACATCTTTGTTGTATACTTTTAGGATAAATACGTCGTGAACATCAGTATTTTTAATTTATTAACACGGTAATAGTTGCTGTTATAATGACTGGTTTTGAAACCACGAGGGACGTTTTCGTAGACGTGGACACCCTTACAGAATTTAAAGTGGTAGAGAGGTACCCTGTGATTGGAGATTGTGACATTTGAAGCATTCTTCTGCAATTTACATTTCTAGCATGCGCATACCTGTCAACCCCATATCAGTGCCCTACCTTATTACAAACCAATTGAGACCTTACTGGTCACCCCGTGCCCTTATGAACTCAACGTTCATCCTAAAAAGTCCCATCACAAAGGAGAAACACAAACAAATAGACACACACATGTGTTTTTTGCCCGTATTGAAACGGATGTACGCCATATGGACCTGGAAACTCATTTTCCCTGCACAAGATTAAAGGTAAACCGTACGGGTTGACAGGTATGCATGCGTCGTACGAGCCTACTGCAGCCCAAACAATAACATAAGTATAATTCAACAATTATTCGTATCATTAGCACCCACGTTTTATGACATTGTTGAGGAAATCCCAACGTCAACAGCTCCCAGTGCCTCATCAAATCTCCTTGCTTCTTCCATGTCCGCCCCATGCCGCTGGGCTGGGACCCTATATTCGTGACATATTTGTGTTGTATCCGTCGGCCTCCAAGATGTTTCTTTCCACATACCCTGTGCAATGTGTGCCTGCAGTCATAAAGAAACAAGTTAACAACACCAACCTCTCCTCCCCTCGCCATCCCTTTCTTGAGAATGTGTTTTATTTTCTTTCACAATTGTAGCAGAAACGACTTACATCTACGCTTTCTTTAAGGCTGCACTGTTTTCAGCTATTAAGTTGTGATAAGGCCCGGCGCCTTATCACGACTTAAAGAATGTATTGAAAACGTGAATCGTAAACGTGTTTATCACTGGGTCACTCATTAATCGGAGACACACACGTTGCTGAAAGTGCCCTTATGAAGAGACACACACGTTGCTGAAAGTGAGAGATCATCTTGCACTGATTTGCGTGGACTGGTGACCAAACTCGTGGCAGAGAACAGGCGGGGGGATGACGGTCATCAGTGCCAGTGGCTCCCCTCGCGTTTCATTATTGACTCCTCTCTGGTATGAGAAAGAACAAACACAGCACATGCTGAATAACGTATCCAGAGCGTTTTAATTTTAAAGCTCAATTCACGATTAGAAATTCGCGGGTTCATTTCCCGGTCAGGACTGCACTTGGCACACGATCCCCCCCCCCTGTGTAAATATAAAATGTACAGCTATTTCTTAATCCACTGTTGGATGAAGGCCTCCCCATGGCGTGTCGGCGATCGGTGTTGTTTGGCCATACTTCACCATGCCGAGCAGTGTGAAATTTGCGAAGGGAGTGTCCAGAAACGGCTCCGATAGCACTCGCCACTGATGTTAACTATGGCTGGGAATTATACTCAGGTCGTCAGATTCAATTAGGATTACACATAGCAATCATCGCCTCCTTCTGGCAGACAAATGCCCGTTTGCAGGCCTGAGTCACATTTTAACCACAGCGACAGCTGCCACTGGGGGTGCTCTTTCAAATGTTTGAGATGAGCGATGATGTAAGTCTCTAATTGTGTGTGAAGCGCCCTTGAGATGCTCCGTCGTAAAGGGCGCTATATCAGAGACATTTATAGTTCAGTGATCTAACCACTGCGCCACCGCTCCACCCCTGTTGAGATTACGATGCAATCAAAATAATTACATTAAAACAATCGTAACCAACATTCAGAGGTCCCCGCTGAAGTGACAATATCTCCGGATGAGAAATGCATTTAATCTGAGCTTGAGTTTGAAAACAACAGATTAACAACACGGTAAGACAATACGTGAACACAGTTTTACGAGCATCCATATTAGCTTGCTTGCTCTGCAAGCGGTTCACTTCACGTATGATCGTGACTCCGTATGCCTGGCCTGCTAGTGACCCCAGGCCTACTCTGGCAAATGAGACTCAAAATAAACTTGCCCCGCTGCTACACGAGGCCAAAACGTTGCGTGCTCATTCGGCCCAGCGTCGTATTCTCCCAGGTAACGTCTAAAGTGGCCTGACGTGACCCACGGCTATAGGATTACGATTCAGCCGCGTCACCTGACCACCACCCCCGGGCCCCATTCAGTCACTCGGTTTGAGGGATAAAACCGCCTAATTGGCCCCATCTGAAGTCTTAACGAACGAGAAGGTACGTTTAGAGTAAAGGGATGTAGGCGTGTAAACATGTGGTCGGGCTCGACGGAGCTGGGCACTTGTAAACATGCAACTCGAAGCCATATGGCGAGGCTTGTTAACGTGTAATCGGATTTCATAGGGTCACCTTCTTGTATTGGCCAAGGTCACTTTATTTGCCTTAAAACGAGCGCCCTTTGCTCGCATGCAATGGGATTCGGCCACGGGTGACTCTAAACACAGCCCCACCATGGGCTTGTGTTTCATGCATCTCTCGTCAAACATTCAGTAAGTATTGCAATTGGATGCATTCAAATATTTCATTTTAATTCACAAAACATGCGCTTTCAGTTAAACGAAGCTGCCCTGGTTGGTGGTTTCTAAGTTATTTCATGCACTTTCTTGTTATTGCCATGCGGTTTTTATTTATTTTATCTGTGTATACATGCCAAAGCACGTAACTTCAAAGGTACGGTGACAAAAGTATGAATTGTAAATGCTAACAATTTTGGCCAGGGGAACATATACGCATGCAGAAAACATAAGAAGGTTAATTATCCAATGAATTTCAAGTAATAGAATTAATAATCGCATACGTATACATTTAACCCGTTTATAAGGGCATCGCATTGGAAATATGGGTATGTTTAACTTTGGCTCTGTCGATGTGCATATACAATATATAAATGTACATATAAATGCACACATACCGTAATTTTCTTGAAATATCAAAGGTGTCATTCAATACACCAACAAATTGAGCAAAAACATTTCTGCTGAGTGTAAACCTTTTTAATGGAGTAATTTGTTTATTTTAGTTGCCTGCTAGAGACACCCGATTCTACATGGCTTTCATGCCATCATGCCATGGTTGATCATCATTATCATCAATAACTGTACAATAGATGCACTAAAATACGTGTGTCCATCATTCTGCTTCTAACTTGAGAACTACAAGTTGTGCACCGTAGCCCTCATTTTTTGTGATGGGTTTCCTTGTCATTTGCAGATTTAAATTATTGTTTGCCTTGAGACAACTTACGGGTCCCCACAGTGTAAACGTTACAGCCCTTTCTCTCTGTATGAGGCTTCCCGAGGCATATGGCGGCACCGGGCATCGATGACTGTATGCTGCCGATGAGTCCTAATGAGAATGAAACCCGTCTACAGATGTGTCTTTGTTTAACTACTGCCTGTTTCTTGGCCACATTTTCTCAACTCTTTCAATTGGTGGTCTACTTGGAAAAATGTCCACACATTCAGTTCTTTTGAACTGGTGATCTCGATAAGGCTTTTGTACGTGCAATTGTGCACACCATTGTGTGTCCTTAAACCAAGTTGCCTTCCTGTGGATATGCCTGTGGTGACCAGATACTCTCACAGATGTCACCAAAGTTGGTACACAAACGTATTGTGTTTGCAGCTTTGTTGGTAAGAGGAGCGGGGCTCACATTCATAATCATGAGTTAAAATCCCAGCCTGGAGTAACTCGGTTCATCATTATCGCTGTCATCATTTATCCAAGGTCAACTGAGCTGAATTCAGGTCTACAATGCACCAAGCTGCTGCTGACATCCTGGGCTATGCTTGACTTACGAAGTATCCAGGAGT